GTAAAATAAAAAGTATTTTACAAACTTTATGTCAATAACTTGACACTAAATGAACAGCTAGAGCCATATGATTATCTTGGTCATTTTCAAAGGTTAAACCGGTTCATTCTCAATCCAAACAGAAATCGCCAACCTTAACCAAGCTACCCATCTTCTGCGCTGGTGACACGTTGCGGCATATTTAATTATTTAACCGGTATGGACTCATATTCATATATTGCCATGTATATGATTGCCTTCTAAAACTCTTCAAGTCACCTTTTCAGTCGCTGCCTAGTCCGTCTCTCCATCTGTCTGTCTGTCCGTCCGTTTTGTCCGGAGCATACCTTGAAAACCCTTGGACATAATTTGTTTAAACTGCACACATTCGTAGAAGGCATTGGGACGGAGTGCAGTGTCAAAGAACCATAACTCTGCCTGGCCTAATTTTGGAGTTATTGCCCTTTGTTCATTTTTACACTTTGAACTTTGTCCGGGACATTACTCTAATACTTTAAGCGATATCAACATGAAATTTTGTAGGTAGGTAGATCTTATTGGGTACATTGTGCGTGCAAAAGAATTAATTACTTTGTCTTCCTTATTTAAAAAAGTAAATTGCCTTTGTTCATTTGATTTTTCTTTGGACTTTGCCCGGGACATAGCTCTGAAAACATAAGAGATATCAACAAGAAACTTTGTAGGTAGATCTTACTTTATAAAAGTGCAATGCAAAAGAACCGTAACTCTGCTTTGCCTAATTGTGGAGTTATTGCCCTTTGTTTATTTTTACACTTTGAACATTGTCCAGGACATAACTCTGAAAATATAAGAGATATGAACAAGACACTTTGTAGTTAGACAGATCTCATTGTGCAGATCTGCATTGCAAAAGAACGATAATTCTGTCTTGCCTATTTTTTTAGTTATTGTCCTTTGTTTATTTTTACACTTTGAATTTTATCCGGGTCATAACTATGGCATAATAAGAGATATGAACAAGAAACTTTGTAGGTAGATAGACCTCATTGAGAAAATGAGCAATACAAATGAACCGTAACCCTGCCTTGGCCTTTTTTTTGGGGGGGTGGGGGGAGTAATTAATTACCTTTTTTCATTTTTTTTCACTTTGAACTTTGCCCGTGACATAACTCTGAAAGTATAGGAGATTTAAACATAATATATATCATTGCGTAGATATGCAGTGCATAAGAACCGTAACTCTGCCTTGTTTATTTTTGGAGATATTGTCCTTTTTCAATTTTACACTGTGAACTTTGTCCGGGACATAACTGTGAAGCTACAAGAAGTATCATCAAGAAACTAAGTAGGTAGATAGATCTCATTAAGTAGAAGTGCAGTGCCTAATTTTGGAATTATTGCACTTTGAACTTTGTCCGGGACATAATTCTAAAACTACAAGAGTTGTACTTTTTCTGTGTCCAAAACCTATTCGGGGAGCATCACCGGTTCAAACCGGCTCTTGTTTGTTGTTATTATTTAGTCTTAAATATATCATTGCTTTGCTTTTGTTTTTCTCATTGCTTCTGTTTTTGTAAATGCTTTTGTGCGATATATTAAATCTGGTCCGCTTGGGGTGAGATAAATACTTTCTTTTATAAACATCAACATAATAAAAAAAGACCATCGTTTCACGAGTATCTGTTAATCGTATCTTGTATTTTTACATGGAAACAATAACTTTTAAAATACAAAAGAGTGAATAAACAGACGGTCAGAATTTGTTTAAACAACTTTAAGACGTTGAAGTTTACATTGAAGTTTTAATGGGTTTCTGTTTAACACCTGCCGTGTTACTTTTAAATGTAGGTCCGATTCTTTAAACCTTTTTATTTGTTATACATGTGTCATTATAATACATAATAGCCAATTGTTACTATATGTTTTACTTTAAATGCTGTCTGATTCAAAAAAAGACCGCTTACAGCACAGACATTTTAAAACATTTTAAAATATTTCTAAAATTTTGTGAAAAATTGTACATCAAGAAAAACCACAGCCTATTTTGTTTCGATTGTCTCCCTTAGACTATTTGAAAACAACGGATGGTGCAATTTTTGTTAACATTTTAGAGGTTGTTTATTCGACATCAAATAAAAAAATGCGAATTCAATGAGCATTTCAAAATAATATGAGCCGAGTCACGACAAAACCAACATAGTGCGTTTGCGACCAGCATGGATCCAGACCAGCCTGCGCATCCGCGCAGTCTGATCAGAGATCATGGCTGTTCGACTTTACCACCCTGCAGCCATGGATCCTGATCCAGGACTGCGCGGAAATGCGCCAGGCTGGTATCTTGGATCCATGCAGGTCGCAAACGCACAATGTTGGTTTTGTCGTGACGTGGCTCATATATAGGTCCATGGATGTAGGAAATATCTAAAACGTTAAATATTAAAATGGGTTAAAGTTTTTATCCTTAACTTCTTATCTCATAGAAAATATGTATACATGGAAATGTAAAATAAAAGTTTTCATAAAATATGATTTAAATACGGTTAAACTTCTTAATTAAGTGTTATAAAATATAGGTCAACAATATTGTTATAATGTAAATAAATCTTCAATTTTCGTATCTTGTAATAGACATGTACGAAAAAAAAACATCATGTAAGATTTATTTCATTATTGTTTAATGATTCGTAAAATGCCTCACTAACGTAAAATTGCATCAGTCAGTTTTGCTCGTTTGATTTCGACCATCTCCGTAAATTTCCGTTTCAACCATCTCCGTAAATTTCCATTTCAAAATATAAATTATTAAATAAAAAAATGCTAAAAGCTTACAGGACATCATTTACTTTTGGTTAGATGGGGGTTATTTGGCCTTAATAAAGAGGAGGAAAATGTGAAAATTGGCAAAATTTTCACCAAACAGATCTCATGAGCGTGCGCATTGATATCGTTATATTGATATTGTTTAATATTGTGAAGTATAGAAATAAATTATATTCTATAATCAATTATAATACTGCTTCAGGTTAGTTAGACGACTCATAATTTTTAACATAAACACACATATACGACTCTGTGGTTTAAGCAGTTTTAATTTTTTAAGTTATTTTAGTTTCAATCTCATTAAAATCAGATCATCGTTTTCGATGCGTTACTTTTCGCTACGCGAAGGGTAGTGGAGCGACAGTTAGGATATGATTTTGATGAGCTTGTTTTAGTTTGTGATACACATGAACAATATGATCTCCTTTTTTGTTTATTTAGCTAGTCATAATTGTATTCTTATATTGTGATATTAGTGATTTTTGACTGTTATTTTTCTGTTTGTTTGTTGTTATAACCAGTTGCATATTATATGCCTTGGTTTAATAAAAACTGAAACTGTTTCAACACATTACCAAAAACCTATTCACCCTCTTATCCCCTGATAGCAACTATGGCACACAGAAATCTGATCGAAATAATTAACAACACATTTCATTAGATAAATAAACATTTAATTTTTTTGGGAGGGGGGAATTCTTCATTTTTTCGTCTCACGTGCAAATTGTCAAATTGGCATATCTTTATCATTGATAGCGTCTATAATATGGAATGCCGGTAGGGACATGCCAATTTGCTTACTTATATAATATATATATAAGTTTCTGAATCGTGATGTACCTTTAACAAATCCTGACAGTTTACTATGAACAAATCTTTTTCTTTCAAAATAATCTTAAAAAAACATTTTTTCCAAAAAAAAATGGGTTGGTGGGCTTTTTAACGTAATGTATGTGGTTACTGCACAATGCAAAGATTCGAATGAGGAAACATCTTAAAAAATATGTTTACTAACCCTTGTTCTTTATAAAAACCTTTGCAGACTTCAAAACTTTTGAAAACCATAATATAAGTCTGTTTTTTGGTTCAGTTTTGATTATTTTTTCGACAGAATAGATATTTTTCAAAGATTTTGAAAATTTGATATTGGCACGAGAGTGTGACTCAAACATTAAATGTGTGTCTCTCGCACTCTTAGCAAATAAGCAATTCAGCAATTGGCAAATAAGCAAATTGGCATGTCCCTTCCGGCATTCCATAGCGTCTAGTTTCGAATTTGCACTGATTTATGCCATTTATCTGGATAGTTAAAGAACATTATGGTATGCTATGCTCTTTTAACATAATTTAAATCGATATTTTACAGAGCTATTTTAACATACATAATTTTTTTTTTTTAATTCATTGTAGCACACTTTTAATTAAATAATGCATAACTTACGTTGCCCCCGTTACGACCCATGTTCATGTATTTCATTTAGGTATTTTTAATATTGTCCAACAATATTGGCCTGGCACTTCATTAACTTTCGTAAAGGTTATATGAATAAACACTGAACGTAGTATATATCGAATATATGGATATATTTGCTAACCTCACTTGTCATTGATGTGCGGTGTATTGGTATAGATGTCGGACTACCGATCTGATGGTCTCTGGTTCGATTCCTTACCAACACCACGTTATATATATTTTTTATTTACTTGCAAGAATTAATTTGAAATCGTTTTACTCAGAACACCTGGTTTTAGAATACCCTTTAAGTGGTGTTTTATGTACAATTATATTTTTTTATTTCATTACCGTATCTTTCTTTCAACTGTTCTTTTTGTGACATTATGCAATCGTATACATGTATGCTTTAGCGCATACACGCAATAAAGGCATATATTAAAATACTACATAGATAGTACACAAAAAAATGGTTTGCAATAAGTTTAAGAGAATGGCAATTTTAAAATTAAAATAAAAAAAAATAAATCTGTGTAATTGTGTTCGAACCTGCCAGTTCACGTCTACATTCTTTAAGCTAACTCCCTTTACCAAACTGCGCTAAGTTCGCTGACGTGTTTTTTAATTTAAAACATTTTAACAATCATATCGATTTACAAGTAGATCGTAACGTTTACGGAATATACCGACTACAGGGTCAAATGCAAGAGTGCCAGGACAATACTAAAGAAGTTACAAAAACGCTCGCATATGCTTGTTTGTGCTTTAGTCGATATATTGGCGACACACCTCCAGTAACGTAGATTCTGATTGGTCAATAACGGGGGCTTGGCTCACACGTGGATGTTAAACATTTTTGTTGATACGACGGTCGTATTTTTATTACTTACTTGGATATTTAATTAAATAATCACAATCAAAGTAAGGAAAATTTGAATTATATATTTTATTATGTTCTTATTGATATTTCATGACTCTAATATACATGTCATGTATAATTTGTACAATTTAAGGCAGATTTAAAAGTCAATATGGCTAAATCAGATCTGTTTCACTCCGATGATCATGCAGTATTTACGATTAATATAAATGTCAATATAGGAATAAGACATGTGCTTGGCGTGTATATTACTAACTAGTTACTATACACTAAATATGTAGGTTTTTATTTCATATAGATCTTTAAACTTTAAATATACTTTAAAACATTCTTTTGTGACACATAACCTTTTATGCCACATTTTGTATGGTGCGAAACAGGAACTTGAAATAATTCATGGAATAAGATGCTAGCATGACACATTTTATAGATTTAAATGGCTAGCGAGTATTATTTATTACTCTTATCCTACCTATGGTGTAATGGCACTGTTCGTGCGTATGTCCGTGATGACATTAATTAGATAAGTGTGTTACACCTTGCAAATATGTTGTCGTTTATAATAGATCTTTTTCTTTTTTTTATTTGACTGCAAGAACATGTTTTCCTCCTGATGGATCGCCCGTTGTGATTATATAGTAAAAAATATGTTTAAAATCGGCGTAAAAAAACATATCGATTCGTTGTTTCATTTACATATACATGTACAGAGTAGTATTTTGTCTTGTTTTATACCTACATGAATTTAAGAGTCCTAAATATAGCTTAATTTGCACTTGCCAATATTCCTTTTAGCGCATGATTAGGTGATCATCGATCTTCCGATACCTTAATGCATTATATCGCGTATATGCGTTTTGTGAATATCGCTTTTCTACAGAAGTACGAAAGACAATGTAAGCATCATTTACACAGAAATTGGAAAATCGAAGAATCGGCGTAAGATTATTGAGTGCAGCTGGTACAAAATTGATTTTGTACAGAAAGTTCAGGGTGAACAAATGTATGTGGAATTTATTAAGACAAATGTAGCAGACGATATTTTTGCTGTTTTATGACCTTAGACGGAAATGTCAAGGAAAGCACCGAAAATATCTCGATATTCCCTTTTTTAGCCGACATGTTTCGGAAATTTACTGCCTTTTTATGCAGACACGGCGTTTATGTATGATGTACAGTAGTACATGCAAATGAATGTCATTTTGATCTTTGTTGTATAATAATATTTAAAGCAGGGCTGATCATAGCATAGGTAAAAAAAATTTTTTAACTGCATGTTATTAACACTAGAGAAACATAACACTTTGAAAAAAAAGTAAGCTCCAAACAGGTGACTAGGGATTCCACTTTATGATATAAATGACTTCTTTAATTTGAGAAAAAATATCAAAAACTAAATAAAGCCTCAACACTAGCTATTCTTTTTATCTTGTGGGGGTGTAGCACAGTATTACTTGTTAACTGTCTATTTAAAGCTAAAGAAGTTCAACGGAGATCCAAAATCATAAAACTTCAAGAAAAAAAATCAACTGGGACACTGGTACACCAGAAATGAAAAGTATGTTACTAAGATTATATAGAGACCTGCTCAAAACGAATTACGAATTGATATTTAGATCGATTTAAGTCAAAACCGTTTATTATGATACCCGAAAAATTTCGGAAGAGCATATAGTCGTCGGGTTGTCCGTCCGTCAGACCGTCCGTCCGTCAGAACGTACATACGTACGTCCCGAATTCGTGTCCGGCCCATTACTTGGTTATTTGAAGTCGGATTTTACATCTATTTCACAGAAATGATCACCATATAACCACGACGTGCCGCGCACAAATTTGGGTCGCTACCTTGGAAAGTCAAGGTCACAACATGACCCTTGAACCAAAGTTCGTGTCCGGCCCATAACTTGGTTATTTGAAGTCGGATTTTACAACTATTTCACAGAAATGATCACCATATTGAGACGACGTGTTTGTGCGCAAAATTTGGTCGCTACCTTGAAGGTCAATGTCATAGCATGACCTTTAAGCAAAATCGTGTCCGGTCCATAACTTCGTTATTTGAAATCGGATTTTTACAACTATTTCACAGAAATGATCACCATATTGAAATGACGTGTCTTGCGCAACATTTTGGGTCACTACCTTGAAGGTCAAGGTCAAAGCATGACCTTGAAGCAAAATAGTGTCCGGCCCCAAAACTTGGTTATTTGAAGTCGGATTTTACAACTTTTTCACAGAAATGATCAACCATATTGAGACGATGTGTCGCGCGCAAGTCGGTAGATAGATCTAATTGAGTAGAAGTGCAGTGCAAAGAAAAGTAACTCTACATTGCCTTAGTTTGGAATAATCACACTTTGAACTTTGTCTGGGACATAACTCTGAAACTACAAAAGATATACTTTTCTGTGTCCAAATCCTAGTCGGGGAGCATCACCCGGTTCAAACCGGCTCTTGTTAAGTCATTTTCACAACAAAGTGATTATTTAGAAAAAAAAGAAAGAAGTAAGCCGAATCATCACACGTTAGTTGTATAACATGAAACGGTATAAAATCTCGATCCAAAATGAAGTCCCGACCGATACAATTTTTATATGGATGTCACGTGTCTATTTCGCCAAGTCAGCCATAAACATTTGCTATGTTGTCTCCCCTGAACATATATATATATATCATTGGGTTATAAATGATATATTAAAGATTTTATTAGCATTGAAATTAAACGTTTTCTTGTTGATAAAAATAGACATTTTTGAACATCTTTCTCATTACCAATAATCGTCATCCGAAGATTAACGGAAAGACCCTGCAAAAAGTTGCGACGGAATCTATCATCTAGGCTATTATTCATAATAACTCCTCATTCGAAGTTTGACGGAAAGGGTCGAGAAGATGCGATTGTTCCACAGTTTTGATGCCACTAGTATGGGGGGTGGCATTTAGATTTGCCCTTGTTCGTCCGTCTGTCCGTGCGTTCTCCTGTGGTGTTGCTTGTGACACTTAAAGTGCTGAAGCTAGAGACAACAATATTTACAGGAATGTTTATCAGCATGCAAATTTGTGAACTTGGGTTTTCGCGTATAGCCATATTTAGTTTCGTCAGAGTTAATGCCCTTGGCAATTTGCAAATAGTGTCGCGCGTAGCTCAAAACATATTTGGCCTAGAGTCGGTTCAGTTGGTCAGCATCTGTAGTTGTGCAACTGGGGGTTTGCTTGAGGATATATTCAGTATTTGTAGAGTTATTGCCCTTTATTTAGTACATAGCTCAAAAAGTATTTGACCCAGAGTCATGAAACTTTACATAAGTGTTGGTCAGCACAGAAGTTATTGCCCTTGACTAATTAAAAACTTGCAATTTTTAGCTTGCGTTGTTCGTAGCTCGAAAAGTATTTGATCTAGAGTCATGAAACTACTAGCATTTGAAGTTGTGCATCTGAGGTTTTACATGTGGACGAATTCAGTTTTATCAGAGTTATTGCCTTTGACTTACTAAAAATTTGCAATTTTCAAAAATGAGTATGTCAGCATTAGAAAATTTGGATGTTGATTTAGGGGGTAGGGGGTGGGGGTCATGTAAAAATGTTTTGTTTGTCCCTCTGTCATATTGCCCTGCTGTATGTCAGTAGACAGTGGGGTGTCGGCACCTCTTGTCCTACGGACACATTGCTAGTTTGAAAATAAAAATATTTTAGCTTTTGTTATGTTAGATGAAAGAATATATTTTATGAAAATGTGAAAACAAAAAAAAAAGATTGTTTCATATAATTAAAATTCAATAATCAGGTTACCATGAGACAAATATGGGTCACTTGTCAGCATATTTTAACAAAGTGAGTATGACAATCAACCTGACGCTCAATAACCTTTTCGTTTTAAAGGTTTTAAAGGTTTAAAAGGTTTTTTTTTATTTAAAAAAAAATAAAATAAAAAGATTTGTATTTGGAAAAAAAAATCGTTAGCTCGAACTCGGATCCTCGAATACCTCCCTTCGCTCGAAGTCATCGACCAGTCCCGGCAAAATTCCTATATAAAATATATATTGTTCTACCTCGGATCGCTCGAACACCGATCGCTCGAACTCTCTAACCTGATCTCTGGTCCCTTCGCTAGAAATATGGTGAAAGCCTCACATTTTCGGTGGAACACAAAAAGACAACACAAGTTGCAGGTCGTCATTCTTAATTAGTGACAGTCTGTGTCACATGTTCTAACACCACGTGACGGTGATAAAGGCAATTATTGTTAATTGTTACAAAATTAAAGGTGTTGTAACCGATTTGTTTGTTATGACAATGTTGTTTATTTGTTGTCTTTCGTAACGATACACAGAAAATACCTTGCGATATAAGAGAAATATGCACAAGTAAAAAATAATGACGTTTACCCGGTAAATGTTCATGTAAAGCGTTGTTGATTATCTGTTTATAGAATGGCACTAGTTGTGTTTATTTTAGTAAATGACTATTGTTTGGCAATATTGACCTGAGACTCATTAATTTTCGGAAGCTTTTTCGTTAGTTTCCGTAATTTATTACGATTTACTAATTGATTTTTAATGATAGGAAAGTTCTCGATACTTTATTTTATGCTAACACCCTGATTGCCTCCTGATAAGTATGACAGCCTAGCAATTGCGAAGTTGCAAGTTCGTAACCTCAACAAACTATTTGTTTTCAAATTGCTTTTATTATATTTTTTTCATTATGTGCAACGTTAGTGGATGAATCATTTCTTTTAATTTTTTGCATCTTTTGTATAAAAAAAATCATAACGTTGAGTTAATATAGATGTATGTTGTAAATTTCATAATTTCAATTTGTACAATGGGTATTTGTACAACGTATTTATCAATCGCCTGGTGTGAGCTGAAAACCCCCCAGGCCAATGTTCTACGTAAACTATGATCGTATAATACATGAAAATATTTCAACTTCGGTTGGCTCGAACTACCGATCTCTCGAACAAATTTGCACAGGTCCTTCCGAGTTCGAGCGAACGAAGTTTTACTGTACTTTTCTCTCTATTACAGCAGATGTCATTGCGGACAGTCCTTCACTTCGTTAGCAGACGAACTTTTCAGGGAAGGGCGTGTCAGCAGCATTTAGCGCCAGCATGTATACTAAAGCGGGAATTTCACGAGGATTTCCTGAATAAACAGAAGAATCTGGATCACCCAACCGTGTTAATCACAGGTAAACAAACTCTTTTTGAAAGCCATAACGTTACCAATACCGAAAGATGAACCAAGTTCTTTTATTGATATCTGTCCCTGCTTAAACCAATCTTCTGTAAAACCCTTATACGTATAATTATTTGAATGAAATCGGAATGTCCACTTTTGCCGTTTTTGTGACCCATGTGGCCAACCGTGCCCTTAGCAGACACCTTAGCCTCAACCAACTCTCACACGTATATGGTTTTCAACCAAATACAACTGAAACCAGAAAAGTGTTATTATTTTACACTCAAGACTATTTTTCTACAAGTTAAAATCAACTTTAAAATATGTGAACACATTTAAGTCGGAATGTTTCATTATTTCAGGAAGCTTGGGACAGTTGGGTCAAGGCCTGGCAAAGATATTGAGGTATGTTCTCTTTCAATTAAGGCAAATTTCAATGTAACATATTTAAGATTATGCGATTTAAAAGTGTACAAAGGCAAACTTTTAGATCTTAGTTCGCGTTTACTGTTTATGTATTATATTCATGATAACATGTTAACATACATGTTTTTGAGCAGACGGTAATTGTTTTTGCTTGACCTTCGATTTAAAATATGGTCTTATAAATGTCATAAAGAAATGCGGATCAATAATGCGACTACCAGCACAAATCATTTTATTTACAATCTAGGCAATTATCTTTAAAAAAAATATGATAGCAATTAAAAATAATGCAGTTTATTTAAGAAAAAATATATCCCAGACAGTGATTTTATCGCTAAATAAAATCCGACCATACATTTTTATTGTCTTTTTTATATCATCGTATACGCTGACATAAACGGGACATCTGAAATATTTATTTATATGTGTGCACGTGTAAGCTTATTTCGATCGCACGTAGAAGCTAACACGCGTGCATGTCTTAAATATCGCGTGTTCATTTGTTAACTATGACATGAACTATCACGCGTACAGTGCGCGTGATAGTACTTTCGCAAGTGATACTACCGCGTGGGCGCAGTAGTTAAGATGTTCTAAACATATGCGAACGTAGTACAAAAAAGAAAATATCCAAGATTCCTTATATGCCATTCTCATTTTTTCAGAGCACGATATGGGCGATATAACGTACTTATGTCAGATATTATCAAAGCACCAAACAAAATTCTTGAAACAGGTAAGGAACTTAATGTTTGTTCGAAATTTGCTGCAAAACTTAAACTGGAGACAGTGACATACTTACACACGGTTATTGATGATAAAAAATATAAACTTTTCAAGTACCCATCTTTATTTAATTATTAAAATACATACGTCAATGTATATCAGATTCAAACGTATCAAAAGCATGGCATGTAATATTTACCATCAAATTTCACGTATAAATATATAACTGTGATGTAATTTTATCATTGTTCAGAAACGTTTAAACCACCTGTAAGTGTAATATTTTGTAGAGACGGACGCAATACTTTCAGTTTGAGAAGTCCGCTAGGACCGATACCAAATCATTTGCCAAGGGTTCGAATCCCGTCAGAGCCATTACGTTCTTTCATGTGAGAAAGCTCTCCAGATCTATGTGCTTAGATATTTGTGATGAAATGTCCAGAGACGATTGTTTTTAGGAATGATGTTATCATATGCATAGTTTGTCAAGAAAATTTGAAAGAAAACGAAGAACAATACAATACCTGCTAGATTAAGAAAATTGTCTATGTTTTAAAGATACAACATTGGCATTACTTTAATACGATTTATACTATGCAAAAAAAACAACAATCGTATTGAAAATATATGACGTCATTTTTTTCTATTTTAAGGACCATATGTCTATGCAGATATTCTCGACTTTAAGAACCTACAGGAGATTGTGGTTAACTACAGGGTAGACTGGATCGTACACTTTAGTGCCCTTCTCAGTGCCATAGGAGAACAAAATGTGCCGCTTGCCATGAGGGTCAACATTGAGGGACTACACAATATACTCGAGATCTCAAACCAGTACAACTTGAAACTGTTTGTTCCAAGTACTATAGGTTAGTAAAGATACTTTAAGTACAAAATTAAATGTAAGTAAAGTACTAATATAAATTGTTGCATTGATTTTTGTTCTGTTTTTGTTGTTTATTTTGTTTTGGGGTTTTCTTTATTTATTTATTTATTTCATTTTCTTAATTAATAAAATAGTTATTTATTTATTTATTTAATTTATTTATTTATTTATTTATTTATTTATTTATTTATTTATTTATTTATTTATTTATTTTTTATTTATTTATTTATTTATTTATTTATTTTTAGTTTTGTTGTTAGTTTTGTTGTTTTTTAAGACCTATTTAAAATTTTTAAATATTATAGTGAACGGCATTATGGGAAGATATTTCAAATATTTAAAGTTTAATATTTTTAAGGTATTTTATTAACAAGGGAATACTTTACAATGCTAAAATTGTATACTTAAATATAAAAGTTTTCTTTTAAACACTCTTCAAATTTCAAAACAGAAACAATATGTGACAGTTACGCATAAAATTATAGCCTCGTTAAATTGTTCATCATTCAACTTTAGTACTTAAAGTTTAAAGCGTGTATTTTTAGCTCAATAATACGGTGAATGGCGATGAACTACATAAAAAATGTCATCCTCTAGCGGTTATACAATAGTAGTACATTTTTGCCTTAGTGAACTCGACTTGCATTTAAAATGTTCAATGTGTAATTCGTTACCCTTTGTATAATCTTATAAATCGGATGTTAAAGGAGAATTTGTCTCAAAAGATATACAATTAGTTGTTTCGCTGTTTCTTGTTAACAAAAAGATCTATTTATAGTATCAAACCGTTTCAAAATTATCTCTATTATTACCTTCCCCCCTCCACCTTTCTTATTTTAGTTCGATTATGTAGGAATTTATTCTACTTGTACATTAGTACAACTTTTATACTTAATAGAATTCAGAGGGTGTTATAGAATTATTTTATCTATTTATTTAGGTGCTTTTGGTCCTGACTCCCCAAGAAACCCCACTCCTGACCTCACCATACAGAGACCCAGGACTATCTACGGGGTAGCCAAGGTACATGCAGAGCTTCTGGGAGAGGTAAGTTATTTGTGTTCTACAGTTGTTTTGACTGAAGACCATTTTCAGAGAAAGCATGTACATGTATATGTTTGGCTTACATATCATACAGAACGTAAAATAAACAGGCTCTTGATTTCGGGACAAAGACCCTTTTACTTGTCAGTGGTTGTCAAATTTATCTGAATGTAACGGTATTTTAAAGTGAAATTCTTTTCTTTTTTTTTTTCTTTTTTGATACCAGCCGTTTTTCGCTTGTTACCAACGACTTTAATTGTGTAGCATATCCAGTTAGATTATTCCTCGTATAAAATTACCTGATATTTACTCCTTGTATCAAAAGATATCGGTGCTTTATTTACTATTTCTTACAAAAAGGTTAAGCTGCATAATAGAATTACTCCCCCTGTTTCAATACAACGAATATGGCTGACACAGTTACTTCCCTTTTTCAGTACTATAATCAGCGGTTTGGAATGGATTTCCGTAGTCTGAGGTTTCCAGGCATTATATCTTCGGATACCAACCCAGGAGGAGGAACAACAGGTAAATCTTAAACAAAATTCGCCTACAGACGAATAGTAATACAATCAAATGTCATGGTGACTAAATATAAAACATTCAGACAAAAGATGTGGCATTCGGGGACTTGGGGTTGGCAAAGTAGTTTCCTTGTTCTAATTACTTGTCTACTTTCAGGGAACTGGAAAATTCTAGTGTTTATGACACATTAAAACCGGTTGTTGTTTATTTACGTTTGCTTGTTTTATGTTGGTTTGAGGCCAATGGGTTGGTTAAATGCTTATGTTTCAGGTTGATGTCAATGTTCTGTTCATGTTTATGTCTAGTTGATGTCAATGTTCTGTTAATGCCAATGTCTAATTGATGCTAACTTATGCATGGAAAGGCACTAGTAAATACTAATGTCCGTTAATGTAAATATTCTGATGTTTATTATGCCTGCGTGTCAATTTCTGGTTCCTGCTAGTTCCTTAATGAAGTAATTTCTGTTTGGATTGTTAGAGAAGACATTTATTTGTTTCACAGATTATGCAGTAGCCATTTTCCACGAGGCGTTAAAGAAGGGACACTATCAATGTTACCTGGAACCAGATACCATGTTACCTATGATGTATATAGACGATTGTCTCAGATCTATCCTAGAATTCATGGAGGTAAGCTTAAATCTTTCCTAGAATTCATGAAGGAGAGTTATGATCTATTCTATAACTGATGGATTTAAGCTTAGATATATTCTAGTATTCATTGAGGTAAGCTTAGATAAATCTAAGAACTCAGAAAGATGTGTTTAGATCTAACCTAGAATTCATGAAGGTAAGCTTAAACCTTTCCTAGAATTCATGAAGGAGGGTTAAGATCTGTTCCACAGGAACTTGAAATTTTATCAATATTAATGATAATATCCAAAATATACCCCCTATACAGTATAAATAAACTATTCATACTGTATAGGGGGTATATTTTGGATATAATCATTATTATTGATAGAGTTTTAAGTTCCTGTGATCTGTTCTATAACTCATGGAGGTGAGCTTAGATCTATCTTAAGATTTATGGAGGTGAGCTAAGATATATCCTAGAATTTATAGAGGTAAGCTTAGATATATCCTAGAATTTATGGAGGTGAGCTTAGATATATCCTAGAATTTATAGAGGTGAGCTTAGATATATCCTAGAATTTATGGAGGTGAGCTTAGATATATCCTAGAATTTATGTAGGTAAGCTTAGTTTTACGCTAGAGTTTATTTAGGTATCTAAGATCTATCCAAGATTTTAAGGAGGTAAGCTTATATCTAATCAAGAATTCATAAAGGGAGGATGCATCAGTATAAAGCCATCGAATTTAGTTTGCAAGGTTTGTTAACATGCTACTGTATCATTGCTTTTATGTGCTAAACTGTTTAACTTGCAATACAGAAGATTTTTCGACTAAATGAACATGAATATATTTTCTTTTACTCACATATAACAAACAATTGACATAGATCTTGTTGTCCCAGTAGAAGGAACCTCTTGGTACTAAATGCAACTCCAGTGAACCCCTGTCGTTATGTTCACAAATTATGTATTGCAATAAAATGAATAACTAATGTCGTTTCTTGATATAGACGGCTTTGATTTATAGTATGCACCTGAATATTATGACCATGTAGTTAGATTTGTTGAGTCCTAACCACTTGCCCTCCAAGTTGTGTGTTCGGATCACACCATGAACTTTGGATTCTGTCATGAGTGTTAGGAATAAAACGGATAATCGACGTGTCTTTCCAGATGCCTTTGTAGTGTTCGAACCTAAACTTGAAGTCTTCCGTAAACAGTTTAGATGGAATGTTGTCATTCTACCGTTTCAGTATCGGTTTGAAAAAAAGACACCAATTTCATTAACATGTTTAAATGTTCATATGAGCCGCGTCATGACGTAACCAACACAGTGCGTTTGCGACCAGCATGGATCCAGACCAGCCTGCGCATCTGCGCAGTCTGATCAGGATCCATGCTGTTCGCTTACCATCCCTATTAAAAGTACAGAAACTGATAGCGAACAGCATGGGTCCAAATCAGACTGCGCGGATGCGCAGGCTGGTCTGGATCCATGCTGGTCGCAAACCCACTATGTTGGTTTTGTCGTGACGCGGCTCATTTAAATGTTCATATTAATTTGCATATCACGAGAAATATTCGTGTACACGTGTCTTTTACAGTTGCCAGAGGATAAGTTAAAAATGAGAACATACAATATACAAGCTATGAGTTTCACACCAAGAATTCTTGCCGAGGCCGTGAAGGCATATGTACCGGACTTTGAGATAACCTACAAACCGGACAGTCGACAGGCCATTGGTAAGTTATTTTGTGTAAGAAAATACATTCAAACTTCCTTTTTTTCTTGTGTTTCTTTGTAATTGTTTTATTTTTGTTGAATGTTTCTTTAAATATGACAGCTTTTTTTTAAAATTCCATTGAGATTAAAATCTCAAAGATGCGTTGGTTGATTTTTAAGATCATATCGATAAAAACAATTGCTTGTAATTTCTCCTTAAATGTAACTGTCAGATCAATTTTCACTTATTGTATTTATGAATGCGAGTGAACTTTTCATTTTTATTCAAAGCACAAAAATAATAATATATTTTTCAGAAGGGATTGGTATAAATAAAAAAAGTCGGAGGTTATTTATAACTCACATCACTGCATGTCTCGAACCATACACTTGAAAAAAAGACCTAACAACTTATGTTGTTTTCCGAAACATTATGTTTACATGTATTATGATCCATGATTTCGTCCACCCCTTTTGGTTCAATGTTAAACATTGTGGAGAGGAGTTTCCTGTGCTTTCTTATATTATGATAAACTCTACAAAATAAAAAATTCATAATGCACATTATCATTAATCCAAATGGCAGGGTATTTTTTTCTGATAATATTTCTGTTTAACCCATATAAAAAATAAAAGCAAATGTTATACTCTTCAGTGATAAATATTTGGAAATATTGAAACAACGATTTTATTTTTATTCTTGCATCAACTTCCTTCATTGCAGCCGACACATGGCCAATGAAGTTTGACGATTCGAGGGCACGTGCAGACTGGAACTGGACACATCATTATGACGTAGATGATCTTTGCAAGGTCATGTTTGACGCCCTTATACCAAAATATAAAGACGCAGCGAAAAAGCAAGCTTCCGGTCATTCCGTTTAAACATTGACATGAAAGATGAATAACGTAAGCGTCTGATGACACTGATTTTATTTCCGTTTTTTAACATCATTCCACTTTATTAGGCTGTATAAGTGAAGCAATAATTGAAGACAAAAAAATCACTTGAATTACATTTATGCATTAGCTATTTAAGTTGAGGAGTGAATATTTTAACACGTCACGAAATAGGCGAGCCATCACCATTAACGCGATCTCTGGTTCCAAGGTTTTGGCGATCATCAACACTGGACATGCGCAGTGCATCGACTAGAGCCAAACAATTGTTAGCACCATTCCGTTAACCGTTTGTTAAGTTTTGATTTACTTTGTTTTAAAGTTTTAAAATAATGTTTAACTTACATTTATTTACAAAATATGTCTCGGTATTTTTGTCGTCTCAATGTGTGATATACATCAGTTTTAATTTTTATGCATGGTTTATTTTATATACAATATCATAGGTTGTGAAAACTGTATAATAATCAATTTATAATGAAATAATTATTTTAATATCAGCGGCTTGTACTCTTGCTAAAATCTAAAATTTCTTAAAGGTCCATTATGTCCCAGAAATGTTTGTTGTTTTTTTGTTTCTCAAGAACTATTTTTGGTGTCTTGATAAAGTTTTTAAAAGGTAACTGGCTAATTATCTGAAACATCCTTTATTTATTTCTGTTGTCTTTTTGCAATTAGTGCCGATACTATGATTTAGTATTTTGTTTTACAGTTTTACTGTCTAGTTTAAGCCTGAAAACGTGATAAAGTTTGTTTGGGACCCCGAGTGAAAGCACTTAGGAAAAAGAATTTATCCCGTTTTCAGGGCTAAAATAGACAGTAAAACTTTAAATTTGGAGCATTTTGCGTAGAATCCTACCATTGGATATGCTTCAACCCCTTTTGTACATAACTTGTATAAACATAATACATTCCGGTGTGTGTATATACATGAATATTGGTCTTTGGTTTTTTTGCACATTTTGAACTATATTAACATTTACATATCGTTTCAAATGCACCTCTCACATTTTATTATTACAATATTTTTTTTATTTATTCTTAATGATGCATATTTACAAATGTGATAATAAGTGTGTCTTTTGTTTCTTTTGAATTTATATAAATAGAAGAACGTTTACTCATTTAGGGATCTCTGTTACCAATTATTTAATGATTTTTGATTGCGTATGAATACATGTACATACGTTTTATACTATTTCAATTCTTAAATTACTTTTCTTTTTAAACAAAAATTGATATACATGTTTAAATTAATAAATTTGTTTACATTTAAAATCATTTTACATTCCAATTTTACTGAATTTTATTTATCATATGTTATGTCTCCTTTTGTACAGCTTGCTTGCTTGCTTGCTTGCTCGATACTGTTCTATTTATAGACGACATGTCTAAATATAGACAACCAGTTCTATTTATAAACAACAAGTCTAATTATAGACTACCGGTTATGTTTATATATAATTCAATGTATGTCTTAGTCTGGATTACCAGCCCTTTTCTCTCCGTTCAATAGTAGTAAATTTTATAGTGCGACGGAAACCAGACTATGTATGTCTGCAGCAGATGAATAAATCTCGTCTCTAAAGACCATGTACATGCTTTTTGGAGGACACGAATCTCAGTTTAATATAATAATATTGTTTGATATAGATGCTTGTTTTTGAATTTTTTTGTTTGTTTTATAGACAATATAAATATTTTTCGAGGAATTGAATCTTACATCTATAGGTATATAGACAATAGAAAAATTTGCTTGATGAGGAACTGAATCTCAGCTCTTTATATAGACAATATAAATTTTTGTTTTTGTTAAGGAATTGAATCTCAGCTCTTTATATAGACAATATAAATTTTTGTTTTTGTTAAGGAATTGAATCTCAGATCTTTATATAAACAATATAATTTTTTTGTTAATGAATTGAATCTCAGCTCTTTATGTAGACAATATAGATTTATGTAAGGGAATTGAATCTCAGCTTTGTATATAGACAATATAAATTTTTGTTAAGGAATTAAATTTTGCTCTTTATATAGACAATATAAATTTTTTGTTAAGGAATTGAATCTCAGCTCTGTATTTTGACAATATAATTTTTTTGTTAATGAATTGAATCTCAGCTCTTTATGTAGACAATATAAATTTTTGTAAGGGAATTGAATCTCAGCTTTGTATATAGACAATATAAATTTTTGTTAAGGAATTAAATTTTGCTCTTTATATAGACAATATAAATTTTTGTTAAGGAAATGAATCTCAGCTCTGTATTTTGACAATATAATATTTTTTGTTAAGGAATTGAATCTCAGCTCTTTATATAGACAACATAATTTTTGTTAAGGAATTGAATGTCAACTCTTTATATAGACAACATAATTTTGTGTTAAGGAATTGAATCTCAGCTCTGTATTTTGACAATATAATTTTTTGTTAAGGAATTTTATCTCAGCTCTTTATATAGACAACATAATTTTTGTTAAGGAATTGAATCTCAACTCTTTATATAGACAACATAATTTTTTGTTAAGGAATTGAATCTCAGCTTTTTATAAAGACAACATGATTTTTGAATCTCAACTCTTTATTTAGACCATACAATCTTTTTGTTAAGGACTTGAATCTCAGCTCTGTATATAGGCAATATAAATTTTTGTTAAGGAATTAAATTTCGCTCTTTATATAGACAACATAATTTTTTGTTAAGGAATTGAATCTCAGCTCTTTATATAGACAATATAAATGTTTGTTAAGAAATTGAATCTCAGCTCCATATTTAAACAATATAAATGTTTGTTAAGGGTAAGAAATCTCTGTTCTATATATAGACAATATGTTTGTTAAAGAATTGAATTGAGGTTCAGTTCTATATATAGACAATCGAAATGTTTGTTAAGAAATTGAATCTCAGCTCTATGAACAGACAATATAAATGTTTGTTAAGAGTAAGAAATCTTTGTTTTATATATACACAATATAAATGTCTGTTGAGGATTTAAACCCCAGTTCTCTATACGGATAATAGAGATGTTTGTTGAGGACAAGAATCATAGTTCTTAATATAGACATAAAAATATTTGTCTCAGTTCTATAAAACGACATATAAATGTTTGTCGAGGAATTAAATCTCAGCTCTATTTAGACAATATAAATGGTTGTTATACATGGTTGTTGTAAAACTATGTTCCCTGTATACATACATGTTCTGTATATAGAAAATGGGAATCTCGGTAATATTTAAAGACAATATAGTTATATATTTGTCCAGTTGAATCTGTGTTGAAGATCTTCTGTAAAATATATTTTTGTATAATACATTGGTACACAATATGCACACCTGTAGAAATAAAGCTATTGACCATCGTAATTTTGTTTGTTTTACTTTGTCTACTGAAGACGAATCTTAACTCTTATCCTGCTAACGTGGAGCGGTGGCCTAGTGGTTAAGGTGTCTGCCTCTCTACACAGTGATCATGGATTCGAACACAAATCGGGTCACGACCATTTTTCTTCATATAACACCAGTACTGGTTAGTTCCAGGAAGAGGGCTAGAAAGTGATTAATATAAGTCGCAAGAACGTTTTTCGCATTCCTGCTGAATTAATATGTTTAAACCAAATCCTGCTTACGTTAGAATGGAATGGACACAAGATGGACTGTTACATCTAGATGTATCTGTCGGAGTATGTACACAAATCCTCTGTAAATAAACTTAATGGAACTTTCATATATTTCACTCAAGGGGATAAACTAGATTCGAATCAACGGCGATGCGGGTTAAATCCTGATATCAATATTTATTTCTGTCTTCTTGTTTTCGTGTCTACAATTTACAACTAAATAGTTAAGTTTTATCGTGATCGGTGTATTAAGAGAGTCTATGGATACTGTCTTGCATGGCACTAAAATCCCCGACAGTTATTAATTACTCGAGACTAAAACCTACACAGATTGAAGCTCATTAAACTTAATCATAATGCAGTCGAAGAAATACAACATGATTCACCATGCACTAAATGCAGACAGAAAATATAATTTTTTTGTTAATGAATTGAATCTCAGCTCTTTATGTAGACAATATAAATTTTTGTAAGGGAATTGAATCTCAGCTTTGTATATAGACAATATAAATGTTTGAATTGAATTTTAGCTCATTATATAGACAATAGCTCTTATTTTTTGTTAAGGAATTGAATTTTAGCTCATTATATAGACAACATTATTTTTTTGTTAAGGAATTGAATTTTAGCTCATTATATAGACAATATTATTTTTTGTTTAGGAATTGAATCTCAGCTCTTTATATGGACAATATAATTTCTTGTTAGAGAATTGAATCTCAGCTCTTTATATAGACAACATAATTTTTGTTAAGGAATTGAAATCTCAACTCTTTATATAGACAACATAATTTTTTGTTAAGGAATTGAATCTCAGCTTTTTATAAAGACAACATGATTTTTGAATCTCAACTCTTTATTTAGACCATACAATCTTTTTGTTAAGGACTTGAATCTCAGCTCTTTATATGGACAATATAATTTCTTGTTAGAGAATTGAATCTCAGCTCTTTATATAGACAATATAATTTTTTGTTAAGGAATTGAATCTCAGCTCTTTATATAGACAATATAAATGTTTGTTAAGAAATTGAATCTCAGCTCCATATTTAAACAATTAAATGTTTGTTAAGGGTAAGAAATCTCTGTTCTATATATAGACAATATGTTTGTTAAAGAATTGAATTGAGGTTCAGTTCTATATATAGACAATCGAAATGTTTGTTAAGAAAATTGAATCTCAGCTCTATGAACAGACAATATAAATGTTTGTTAAGAGTAAGAAATCTTTGTTTATATATACACAATATAAATGTCTGTTGAGGATTTAAACCCCAGTTCTCTATACGGATAATAGAGATGTTTGTTGAGGACAAGAATCATAGTTCTTAATATAGACATAAAAATATTTGTCTCAGTTCTATAAAACGACATATAAATGTTTGTCGAGGAATTAAATCTCAGCTCTATTTAGACAATATAAATGGTTGTTATACATGGTTGTTGTAAAACTATGTTCCCTGTATACATACATGTTCTGTATATAGAAAATGGGAATCTCGGTAATATTTAAAGACAATATAGTTATATATTTGTCCAGTTGAATCTGTGTTGAAGATCTTCTGTAAAATATATTTTTGTATAATACATTGGTACACAATATGCACACCTGTAGAAATAAAGCTATTGACCATCGTAATTTTGTTTGTTTTACTTTGTCTACTGAAGACGAATCTTTACTCTTATCCTGCTAACGTGAAGCCGTGGCCTAGTGGTTAAGGTGTCTGCCTCTCTACACAGTGATCATGGATTCGAACACAAATCGGGTCACGACCATGTTTCTTCATATGACACCAGTACTGGTTAGTTCCAGGAAGCGGGCTGGAAAGTGATTAATATAAGTCGCAAGAACTTTTTTCGAATTCCAGCTGAATTAATATGTTTAAACCAAATCCTGCTTACGTTAGAATGGAATGGACACAAGATGGACTGTTACATCTAGATGTATCTGTCGGAGTATGTACACAAATCCTCTGTAAATAAACTTAATGGAACTTTCATATATTTCACTCAAGGGGATAAACTAGATTCGAATCAACGGCGATGCGGGTTAAATCCTGATATCAATATTTATTTCTGTCTTCTTGTTTTCATGTCTACAATTTACAACTAAATAGTTAAGTTTTATCGTGATCGGTGTATTAAGAGAGTATATGGATACTGTCTTGCATGGCACTAAAATCCCCGACAGTTATTAATTACTCGAGACTAAAACCTACACAGATTGAAGCTCATTAAACTTAATCATAATGCAGTCGAAGAAATACAACATGATTCACCATGCACTAAATGCAGACAGAAAATATTCTCTTGTTGTAGTCGATAGAATAAAATTTAATTTATTTGTTATATAATAGAAGGGAGATATATTGTGCGGGACTAGAATGTTATCTTGCAATTATGAAAATGAATACAAATGAAAGACACGGAAACAGATAAACTTATCAATCCGGTTACATTTAGTCAGACATTTCTTTTATGGACGTAGAATGCATTAAGTTTGAATGGACACTTTCTCTTTATTATAAAATGCTTCAATATCAACAAGGGGGAAAACTTGAGCAGACGATGGTGAAACGTTTGATTAGTCTATGCGTGCATGTAAGTTGGCCTGAATTTACATTTGTTATAACTAACAAGTCATTTCCGAGGCTAGCATTTTACGAATTACATATGGTTTTATCATCAAACTTTCGCCAATGTCACGTTGTAATCAATCGCAACTTTTCGGCCTTTTCCGCCAGTCTTCGGATAAGATAATAACCGAAGACGTTCCGGTTACGTTGTTGTGTGAAGTATGGTCCATCTGACCTTCAGACAAAGTATAGATCTTGGTGCTGCATTAAGCTAGCACGCATCAAAATAATTTTCAGTACTCTACTTGTGAAGTTTATAAACAAATAAGAACAATTTATCGTTCAACAAACCAAATATTTAATACAAAAATATTACAACAGTTGATGTACGTAATGTAATGCTATTAAATAACAACTATCGCGTGTAACATCAGAGTGAATAAATGAAAGACAGATCTATATTTGAGCCGTGTCACGACAAAAAAAACATAGTGCGTTTGCGACCAGCATGGATCCAGACCAGCCTGCGCATCCGCGCAGTCTGATCAGGATCCATGCTGTTCGCTTACAGTTTCTCTACTTGTAATAGTGTTTGTAAGCGAACAGCATGGATCCTGATCAGACTGCGCGGATGCGCAAGCTGGTCTGGATCCATGCTGGTCGCAAACGCACTATGTTGGTTTTGTCGTGACATGGCTCATATTTGATTAATATACACAGGGAGTGCCCCTGAACATATAACAATATAAGTCTAAAAGTAAGGTAGCCCAAATGCAACAACCGCCAAAAAGGCTAAAAAGCCAAAACAAATTCTCTATAACAAAGGTAATTAGCACCTTGCGGACAATCAGAAATTTGCTTGTATGCATGATATCTTCTTTGTATGTGTTTGTCTTTTTCTTGTATGTTTGTACAAAAAGGAGTCCATTTCATATATTTTAATTTGTTAATTTAAAAATTTATTTGAAAAAATATATCTGATTTGGACCTCTTTTTAACTCTAACGGCTCGAGCAAGACTTTCAGAGATTTCGGAGAAACAAGATGCGCATGCGTATAGTGTAAAACCAAAGAAAACAACTGATTGTCGTAGTTTATATAACCAAAAACCGGAAAGTGTCAATATTTCTTGGAAAAGTGAGGTGCCAGTTTCAAACTTATTTATCACACCACAGTAAAGGCAGTGGTTTGCATATATACATATAAATGGTTTTTGCAGACAGCCTCAAAATAGGATTGTGTGTTTTACCGCGTATATAATTATTATAAATTTCCAAGTGTGAGGAAACGCAGCAAAGAAAAATATGCCATCGTGTAATACCGATCATATAGAATCAGCGCCACACAGTGTACTACCGGTTACAGAATTGACCGTCACGTTTGCAATTCTTGGTAATTTATTCATTTGACGAACAAGTTGGCTTCAGTTAAGACGCTTTATAATAAAAGCTTAAATCCATTTTTACAATGGTTTTGACTGTTAAAGAAAAAAAATAAACAGACTACTTTTTATTGGCATTAGATATTTTCAATCGAGGAGATAGAAATTGCTTTAAAATGAAAGAAAAACATTAGACAAGATTCAAGAGACATATTGAAACACGAATGTGTTATAAATTGGTCTACTTAATTTATCGTTAACGTACAGATTTCACTTTTGTCAGCAAATGAATTTTCCACACTTTATGTTAAGCCATGTCGTTAAAATAATGACAATAAAGTCCCTGTGGAATATTGGCTCGGAAATTTAATTTGTGAGAATAATACTAAAATGTTTAACTAGATCACATCCTGTCACATATGTTCAAACCACATCACTTTACAGTGATAGCGGGATAAATTTCCCAGGATACATTTAATCAATATTTGCAGTGATCTCCCCTTACAGGCCTGCGCCATTAACTCTAAAATATATCGTAACTTTAAGCCGAAAACATTTCCAGGGATGCTGAATATGTTGGAAAATACCTTTTAGAATAAGAATATGTCTATTTTAAAATTAGAATATGTTGATATCAATTTTTTTTTATTTTTTTTTTTTTGTTGTTGTTTTTTTTCTAAAACTTTTGACCAAATTACTCGAAAATCTACGTAACAAAACACTAGAAATCGCGTATGTTTGTGATGCATCAAGACAAGTGACCGGCCAAGTTTTGTATACCTGTAATACACCACGAGCGGTTTGAATGGTGTGACTATCTTAAAATACAGATGAAACTAAATCAGTAATAATTAATAAACCTGGAGTAAATATTATTTCATCAAAACGTTTACAGATTGCAACACCATACTATACTTGCGACTTACATTAGATTGTATAAGGCGGCTAAGATCTTTGGTTACTTTGTATATTGCTTACTTCAAAATTGCATAGGAATAGTCCAAATCGGTTTTGATTTTTAATTTAAAGTTTATAGTGTTGACACATCATTCAACTGTTAAATGTATTTGGTTGTACTAACATAAAATTCTCGTTTTCACGTGCCGGAATTAGATACGATAAATTTCTAATGGAGACATACCGCTTTGACATAAATATAACTACATTTTCTAAATACACGGCAGAGGTTTACATAGTTTACAAATTGGCCGGTATATTTTGCAATAGGCCTCTATGTACAGATTTTATACCGATATCTTACAGCCATGATCTCTCTCACAGTTGACGTCACAACGCACTGAACCGGAAGTCGCTCTGAACCGGAAGTCAACGAACGACAACTCTGACGAGTATGATGTAAAAATAGTCCCTTTGTTATTAATCAATCAATTCTACATAAAAAACAAATCTTTAGTATGTACCCCGTATCATCGTCGAATTATATAACACTTATATCTGAATATTGTCCTGAACATTTCGGTTTTAACTTTGTAACAAGAAGCCTGAGTTGATATAACATATATATGTGAACAAATAACATGCGAATACAGATTATTATATATACAGATGCCCTTATAATCTCGTGTCCTCCGTGATTTCCGGTATGGAACATATTCCAACCGGTGAATCAAGATCTGTTCCGCTAATAGGTTCCTTTTCTATGATCGTCTCTTTTTTCTTTGGAACTGGAGGTTTATAAAGCTTGTAGGACAAAAAGAAGAACAATGTGGCTATTCCCGTGAAACCCATACCGAGAAAGGCTAGAAATTCCCCCATTCTGGCATTGTCGTACTTCCAACAGGAAGTGTTATGGTCGCATTTCTTGCCCCATTTTTGACAAGTTGAATCTATCACCGATCCGTATAATATAGGCCCCGGTATCGTTCCTGAAACCGGAAATTAGATTTTATTGATAAATATTTATTAAAAATAGACATAAATATGTTTGTCTTTCTGTAGATTGTGTATTTCAAGTGGATCTGTATTTCCTTGTGATTTAAACATGATTAAAACAAATTTAACAACAATATTGCAATGGCTAACTTGCTGTTTGAAGTTTATTGCATCTTTAAAATGTTTCCTAAGAAAATAATGTAGCGATACAAGCACGACTTACAGATATATTATGAATAAAACAATTTCTTACCAATTACTCGGGCAATAAAGTTTAGCAAACCCAGTGCAAACGTTCGCTCATTTTCATGTGCACACCTTAAAATAATAAAAATCGTTTAAGTTCTTCGGAACGAATTTAGCCCTTAGATACATTTAACAACTTGCACATTTATTTCAACCATGCAATATGAAACATTTAATATGAAAATACAGTCCAATATGTTTTAAATATAAGAATGACATTTTACTGCTTGAATATTATAGGATTTTTAATTAAAATAAAATTGATTATCTAATTTCAAATTCTTAAGATCAAGGTTATATTTTCTTTCTTTATTTCTTTCTACTTAAATTCAAGTTTTGTCAGTATTTGATTTTTAATCATCAAATTCTATTTTTAAATTGACATTATATTGATTGCTTATAAAACCCATTTATTCTATTTCAAATACAGCAAAATTTATGTGCATCTTGATACTACAACATGTATTATTGAGAGAATGTGGGAAGAGCCAAATCATTAATGCTGTTAAAACTTGTGGTCTGACCCTTTTGCTTTTTTATGAACAACTACGGCATCCATGTAAATACTGTAGATTTATTCGATAAACTTTTGTCTTATGTTTGCATGTGACATGCTATCTGTTTTTGTATAGAAAGAAAAAAATATGATTAAACTAATATATAATACTGAAAGTAAATTGTTGGTAATAATCTGTAAGACAAAAAGTTACCTCAGCACCACTGTCAAGGCAGGCACGGTACTACTTGAAACAAAAAATGCTGATAGAAATATCATAAACAGGAAAATATACAGCAGTGAGTTGCAAGTGGATGGAATACAATTCTCCATGGTAACTGAAGTGACATTCGTCCTTGATAACACACACTTACAGTCCGAATACATCTAAAAATAGAACAAAATACATCTAAAAATAGAACAAAATACAGTTTAAATTAATGAAGCGCATTGACGATGGCCGTTTCGTTCTGGGAAACATGCCCATTGGGATTCTTTAAGAGCTATTTAGAAATAAAAAATAAAACCGTTGTCATAAGAACAGATTCAAAATTTGCCTAATTTTACCTCTTTGAGGGACCATAACTCTAGCAAATTAGATAAGACTGTAAAGGAAAGGAAATAAACTGCGGACTGACGGGCAGACGTACATTAATCGATTCTAAAATTAATAGAAAGTTACTTTTTAAAGCTATGGCAATAATGTTTCAAGGGATAATGAACAAGCCATTTGTAATGCCATCTTCCCAATCGTGAGACAACCCTTTTTCTCCTTCACTCTATCAATGCTTGGTTTGCTTTTGCACCAATATAACGGGGGATGTGTCAAAATTGCATGAGTTTGAACATTTAAAAATTCTTACTGCCGCCCGGCTTTGCAGGACATGGTTAAAATTTACTGGCACATAAGCGATATAAAGTTTGAGTATCTAATACCTATTGTATCCAATATTTCTTTAGTCTTTACAAAGAACAAATTAAATAGATATAAGATAGTTACCTTGTTGGCCAATTCACCTTTGCAACCTGCTAAACAAGGTGAGTAGTACTTCCGCCCCTCTCTGTCACAAACAACCTGGAACACACTGTCGTCACAATGGCAGCTTGCGCTACATTCTTCAAACGATAATGACGTAACAGGTTGGCTGAAATTTATATACACATATCTGTAATGCAAGAGTTGCAGACGACATGGAAAGTATAATAACGAAAATATTAAACATATGGCAATATCTCAGTCTAGAATGGCAGAAGTGACTTTAATGATAAGCATGTAATAATAATTGCAGATTAGATCGTTTATGTCTTTCCATTGCATTGCATAAGAAACAAAAAGCTCACTTTTAAATGATGCCTAAGCAGACGATAATAAGACTTGTGTAATTGGTGCAGACGACATTGATGCACAAACTTCTATAATCCTATTTTCAATAATAAAATGAAAGAGAATTGCTTTCTTTGATGTTAAAATAGCAGACGATACGGAAATACCAACATATTTAAGTAATGTAACTGTAAGCTTTACAATGGACCGACTGGCGCCAGGGTTTAGTTTTGTATTTCATATTTAAAAATATCAGAATTATATCGTAACACTTCAGCATTCACAAAATCAGCTGATACATCTATTCTAGACTGGATGGAATGTATGCAGATTGCACTGACATAATAAATGTGATGTCAGTGCAATTCGTTCCATTGTCAAGTCGGTCCTTGGTCTACTCGGCCCTTGGTCAACTCGACACCTTTTTGGTCACATTCTTCTTTAGTTTTGTTATACTCGTCCTGAACAAATCAACTCGTCCCCTTTTAGATCAACATACCACTATTTATTATTAAATTAGGCAAGATGAAATGGTTTCAAATTTTTTTTATACAAGGAAAATATTTTGTATTAAAATTTTATTAAAACAATGCAATGAAGAAATTCATCACTGATTAATCTATTTGCATTGTATGCTTTGCATACATCCTTAGGATACGCAAGATTGAATTTGAGGCAATTTTGTTAAAATACTAAAAAGTTAAAATGTTACAAACCTATCTGTTATGTTTGTATTCCAGACGACAATGTCGCAATTAATAAAGAAACATGCTTTACTAAGCATAGCCAAAGTCACGACGGCCATAAGAAACTTTAAGATGGATTGAACTTTCAACCTCCATCGTCTGATCACAAAACCTCCAAACATTTGACCAAGAGCAGCACCAGGTATTACCAGAAGACCTGAATTATAACAACAAAACATTTTAACTTTAGTTTTATTAATTGTGTTAATTTTTATAATTTGGTTAATTTTATTATAACCGTTTGAATTAGTAAAACTCGATTTAATTCGTTACTTGTACCACTTCTTTGAATAAAACAAATTTTGTCAGTGTTGTTATATTTTTCTGGTCCTTCATTGATTTCCAGCACTTTTAAGTGTCGCAAAATGAGCCCAGCTCACTTGTTGCCCTTCCTCATTACCCCTCATGTACAGGCTCAAACAAACCGAGTCTGCAAATTTCATGTACTTTTGCTTATTTTAATGCTTCCGAGGGATCATTATTTCCAGATATTGATTAATTTGGTTAGCATTATTAGAGATGCTTGTGTTACTTAACTTATGCCAAAAATGACACATAATGCTCTTGGTCCATTTATTATATTTTTACATTGAAATCAAATAAGCTTTGAATATACAATTCAAAATTCTATCCTGGGCAAATCTATTTCAAAATTTTAGCATATTAAGGAGTACACTTCTTTTTCAAGATGTTGCGTTATTTTCTAGTAAAATACCGACTTAGATATATTTAAGCTTCTCATTTAGCCATTTTGGAAGTGTAAAAATATATATATTACCAGCATACGTAGCAGCGGCCGACGCCGTTGTACCATAAATATTCTGTATATACTTAGGCAAGAACGTTGCCATGGAAATGGTCACTAAACCCATGAACGCTCCGGCGAATGCAACGCACATAAACGCAGGATTCTTGAGCAGACGACAAAGTAATACTGGAAATTTACTGATTGACAACGTGCCATCAAGTTTTTTATCTTCGCCATTGTCGTGAGTCTCAGATATTCTTGTTTCTCTCACATGTTTCGCAGCTGTACAAACAAAAAATTAATAGTATTACTTATTGTGGTCATAAAAGATTGGAAATATTCCCTTTTGTTTGCAGGACAATAACGCGCTTGTCAGGCGTTAAATATGATTATATTGATATCACTGGTTATCAAGGAAACGGATTCTGGTGAATTGCGGTCAATAAATTTATTCAGAGAGGTTCAAATACAGTATGATATAAATAAGTTAATAAAAGAAGGAAGCGTTGTCAATGACAACTCATCTCATATTGGGCATTTAGCCTAAAATTGATACAGAACTTAAGGTTTTTTAAACCATTCACTATTTTTATGAATTGGCCTATGACAAAAACATGTATGTGCATGATAACATGAACAAATTACAAAAAAACATGATAATTTCATAATTCTCAAGGAACTCAACTGAGGTCCAGAAACTTAAAAACATAAAATTTGAATTCCTTACATAGATCAACTCGGGCATTTAAAACAGAAAAATATGCAGAAGATATTTAGAAAATATATTCGGAATAAATTAAAAATCGCATTTTTGTGCTATTTAAGGACAATTTGAGTAGAAAAGCGTTGCAACGCCTTTTCTATCTGAATTATTTTTCACAATTTGAATAATCACTCTGAGCGAATTATTTGAAATTTTGCACATAAGCTTTTTGTCTAGACCTACATCAAATGGAATGATAATCTCGAAAATAAATATTTTCAGTCTCGTCACGTCAAAAACGCTCAATGGAGTTCCTAATATATACGCAATTAAATAGGAAGAGAAAGATTCAAACTTACTCGGAAGTTCGGCACCAAACAGAGAAAAAGGCAGAGCGAATATAAACATTAGGATTGAAGAGATGAAGAATCCGACCCACCAAGCACCAACCCATCGTGGATCTGTTGGTGTTAATTCCCACCTTAAAAACAAACAAATTAGTATTATATTAAAGATGTATATCTACATGTATATGTTGTCATCAATAAAGTTGAATCATCACATCAAAATATTTTGGATAACCGTATTCATTTTTGTATTTAAAGAAATACACTAGGTACTAATTATAATGTTTTATTTTTCTACAAATACCTTTTTGGATGGAGGGACTGAGGGAGGGAGGGTGGTGATACCCCCTCATCTACTGGTAACAACAAGCACATGAAATATGATAACAATTTGAGTTGGTTCAATTCGATTTAACGACATTTATATTCGAGTAAATCCACACCCGCTGGACATACTCGTCTGCAGCGAAATTTTAATATTAGCAAAACATAGAACCTTTTGGCGTACGTACAAGTTCATTTTCACTTTCTAAGCTAGATCTAGAAGTATTTCTGAAATATTTCAGTAAAGTATCATCATTCTCAAATATATCGTTTATCATTCAAACATAAAGTGCTGAACATGAAAAAACAATTTTACAATCGATCTAGATACAAGTCTGTTATGTTATCATATTTCTCCACAATTTATAAAACGTACGTGAACATAACGCAGCAATTATATATCAGATAACAGAGTCGTTCTATTGAGAGAGTACTTTATGCAGTTGGAAATTCTCTAGAACTCTCTAAAGAGATATCAGTGTTTATAAATTACTACAGATTCCTGGAATTTGCTTAAGATTTATTTAAAGCCAATGACATCTAAAACTAAGCTACAATCTGCTGACGTCATTATTTTTACTATGAAGTTTGTTGATTTCTTACAACACTGCACGTTCGTAACGTCCATTTTCATTGGATAAACATGACGTATATATATATATAAATGGCTGCTAGTTATGAATATGGTGGCTGATATATGCCATCTCCTATTTTCGCTCCAAGGGACTCCGAACGAAAACACGAAAATACGGAAAATTGGTTACTGTTTGGAGTTCCTTCCTAAGTCCATTGTTTATAGAAACGTAATGGTCCATTATTTCCATAGTAAGAATCAGTATTACGTTAATGTTGAACGATTACTTAAGATTTAAGAAAAAGAAGCTTGGGGCAGACACACATCCATAGATCTATAAACACTTGATATTTTTAATCTAAATATGTATTTCATTCGAATACTCTCGGCACTATCTGGTTATTCAGAGTAAAATATGTTTGGTGGACCGCGCTTGACGACACGGACTAGAAAACAAAATTCTTTGGGGAATACGTGAATATCTAGCTCATTATAAAAGATCGAAGAGGTTTGAGAACATGATAAAAATACAAACTCTGATTTTGGCAATCGTTCAAAGTCCACATACACATCCAGTAACATTCCACCAACCAGGAAGCCAATCATGGGGCCCAGCATCTGACATAAACCAATCATAGCTGCAACAAAAATAGTTGTCATTAACACTAGACATAAAAGCCAAAAAAGTAAGAACATCTGACATAAGGTAATACAATTTCAATACGACGTCTGGATTAAGCCACTTGAAACTGTAATAAGATATAAGGCATAAGCTAAATAAAATATTAGTAGAAAACAACACAAAAATACAGAAATCAATCATAAATGATACAATAATAACATCTGAAATAAATATTGCCACCATAATTTATAATGTTATTGAATTGCTATTACAGATGCGTATTTATTCCATAATAAACTTAATATCGTTAGCGGACTTGTCAATTTTTCAACCTGGACAAAACCATACCTCATTTCTGACTGAGCAGCAAACAGTGCAGGCCATGACACGGATGTGCGGACTGATCTTGGTCAGCACTATTTACTTGGTCAGATTCGATTTCCGCAAACAGGCGTAGAGTTAATGCCAAATAAATTGTGCAGTTCTGTATATTTTTTTTTATTATAAATGACATAATATAAGAGAGAAAATCAAAGGTAAAGGCGGCCAACATAATATTCTTGCAATAATCTAATATATTCGTGTATAGAAAGGTATAGAAAATTCATTTCAGAAAATTTCCTTTCTCAAATGTGAGAAAAATGTGGTCATTTTCCCACTACAATATACAAAACTTCCAGCAATAAACAATAAGGTTTAAATTAACGTGAACCATCCATACTTAAACTGATACCTTGGGTTCACCACAAAACTGCAGCAATTAACATGAAAAAAAGAAAGACTTACAACAGTTTTGCGATCAACCCTCAATCATCAAGTGATTGTATTATAATGCTACACATCCACATAGCACAGTTTCGGTCGTTCAGTTTCGAATTGCCAGGGCATGGTCAAATTTACAAATAAGAGACCATTTTGTAATTAAAGTGGATATCTGAGCTTCCAAATATTTAATGTTACTATATTTCAAGTTTCAGTTGCTAGTATTGTGTTTCAGTTATCAAGTAAGATTGATTTTAGTGGTGTTTGATCCATACATTTTGGGGAGTACCTGTCAGATTCGAATATATGATCCATAAAGCTAGCTCGGAAATCAGCTCTTCAATTTAAAGTCTATGCAGAAGATTTAAAATAGTGAAAAGGCTTATTGCATGTGCCCCCGTGTGGATGTTTTTTTCAGATAGTACATTGTTTAAGATGGAAGAAACACTTAAGCTTGTGATTTAATTTTTGGGCGTTAATATATATTTGTTATTTTGCGAATAGGGGTAATCCACTCTTTTTGTCGTTGATTTTCGCGACCAAAACAATGAAAAACAGTTAATTTACTGTGAATTGTCCCCTTACTTTGTTCTACAGATATTGTTGGCTTATTTTTCTTAGTTTTTCGTTAAAAACTTAAAAATAAATCCCCAACTTCCAGGAATTAATTCCAGAAATACATTTGCAAGCAAAAACCCCAATTTATTTCAATTAAACTGTTTCTTATTTTATCGAAGAATCGTCTATATCTAAGAGAACAAATTCAAACGGCAATATATCATTATTTAACCATGTAAATTAATATAAATCTGCATTTATCTGTTACAAAAACATAGAAATGAAAAATACGATCCCCTTCCTTCAATTTGAGCTGTGAGAAATCGAAATAGAATATAAAAAATGTTTATATAGAACTCGCTGCAGACAAAAAGTGACCGAGCTGATTATTTTGATTTATATCAGTTTACCTATTTATATTGTATTGGCTATGAAATGCCTTTCTAAGCGATGCCATTTATCGATATATCTTCTTGATTTGCACACAAAATACTTCGCTGAATGTCTAGATTTTATAACAATGTTTACCAGACAAATATTTTGGACAATCCTAGAAAGTACATGTGTATATACAGTGTCCAGAAATGGTGTCAGAGTTACTATATAACCAGTTTATAAAACATTCATGCAATATGAATAGTTAAACACTTAGCATGCCAGTTTTTATCATTGTTAAATACGAATGGCGTATTTCGAACAGAATTTCTTTTAAATAGCCACTTTCTTTGAATATTTTTTAAATAACCTAAATACAACCCTTCCAAATTGGTGTGGACTTTGCTTGTGGCAGCAGAATTCACCTTTGAACTAATGTATGATTGGCATTTCATCGTAAATTATATGGGTGTGTTATACTATTTAATGTAACATCAGCTGGCGACTTCAGCTTTACTGGCGGAGAAAAACCTCAGATACTCGGTAATTATTCAGTGACGAGCGGGTACTAGAGTAGAAACAACGAACTTCCATGAGCCAGCCGATAGCTTCCTTACATATAAAAATTAAAAGTCTCTGATGGGATTCGAATCTACAGTGTTAAGTGTCTGGTGCTTCAAAAACAATGGCTTCGTTCGCTAAACAATTGAAGCCACTATAGAATAAAGATAGTAACTATCTTTAGATATTAACCTACTTTCTACAAAATGTATATCAATCTATATATATTTATTTGAATCTTAGATAGTCAACATTGTTCAGTTTACGAGAAGTTCCGTGAAGGCTGGCCAGGCCCTAAATGTTACCTATTTGATATTGAAGTCTCTCAAATTCTTAACAGAATCATTCATATCCACAGCAGAAAAGTTCATGATTTTGACATATACACAAAATGTGAATGTATATATATGTATAAAGTAATATCTTACAGATATATAAAGGTGACGTCGCAGCTGTAACGCTGTCGTCTATAAAAGAGTATCCGACAGTTATTAAAGTTGATCCTCCCAGGCCATGCATCAACTGGCCAATCAGAAGCAACGTTAGAAAACTTGATAACGTCCAATCGCCTTCTCTGCATCTTTCTTCTGCATCTTAAAAAGAAAAAGAAAACTTGACAGTGGTACAGAAGTTTATATCTCTTCTATAGCTTCATTGTCTTACCATATGCTAAGAATTTGAAAGGTGTTTCGAAATTTTCGCATTGACACACATTGACTTGAGAAAATAATTGAGAAAATAATATTAACGCAGTCAAGTGAAATGGGTTATGTACCTTATAAAGTTGCTATACATGTATCTGTATTAGGCGTAACCTTTAATATGGGTTTATATTTATTTTCTCTATATATAACAAGAACCATTCACTGTATGTTATGCTCTTTGTATCATTGTATCATACGGTAGTTTGGGGACCTTTCTGTTGAAAATGTGTCAGAGTTAAATCGTATACATATACATGCACAGTGCGTTAACTGGAGTGCAGGTATTAGTTACCCGCACTCCAGAGCATGACAATTGATTGGCTCATTTTTGCTGGGGTTTACTTATTGTGACGAAAGAGAAAGCGACAGAGATATCGTATTCAGATGCTCGTTCATTGGTTACTTTTTCCCGGGGTTTCATATTGTGACAACGGGGAACGTGTTTTAATGTTTGACTATGATACAAAAGAGAAAGAACATAAAACACTCGGCAATCTGATTAATACTCAGGGGCTACGCCCCCTCGTTCAAATCAGATAGCCTCGTGTTTCGATGCTCTTTCTATTACTAAATATACTGTTATGTTATATTGTTATATGCGCTTTATATCTGAGACTTTATATCGCAGGTTCTGAGCAAAATGAGTCACATACTACCAAAATTGTAACGTTAAGACTGGATCTAAGTTATGTATATATTTTACAGAAATTCCAGCATTTGCAGATGTCTGTTTATGATAATTTATCAGCTGATTTGGTAAATAACAACAACCTGTAGTATTGCCTAAAGCGAGATATTATCACGTACTCTTATGTTTTAATGTTTTTGTTGTTTTGTTGTTGTTGTTTTCAGTTAACATGTTGTAAAATTGTTGTTGTGGTGTATTCAGCTGTTGCTGTCGGCTGCCTCAATACGTCAATGTGATAAGCAGATTACAGCTTTCAAAGCTTTATTTAGAACATTTTGCCTTCTTCAACTCGACCTAAAGACAGCTGTTCTCACAAATTGTTTGCCGACATCTTTTTTTTTAAATGAATATTATAATTCAATATGACCATAAAAAAATTGCACAGTTAATTTTCCTCTGCAAAGTCAAACTATCCTTTGCCAAACAAGCCTTTGTATGCTATTACACGCATATTGAGGAATAAAGATTTTTTCAATTAATATAATTATATCATATTCGAGTCAGCTTCCTGAACCTAGCTTGTGCTTGTGTCAGGTACGTAACATAGCCATTGTACATGTTTCCTACAGAGAATGGCTGATTCACACATAGTGCCAAATTATTCTTATTCATAGAAATTAGCATTTATAGATGATTTCAAAATTCAAATCTGCGTAACTTCTGTGTAAGAATTATATGCGCATTAAATAACAGTAAAAAGGGGATATGCGCATTAAACTACTTCAAAAAGGAGAATGCGCATTACACTATTGTCAAAAAGAGGTATGCGCATTAAACAACTGTCAAAAAAGGTATGCGCATTAAACTGCAGTCAAAAAGGAGTGTCTGCATTATTCTACCGTCAAAACGAGTATGTGCATTTAAGCACCGTCAAAAAGGGAACCTTTGACAAAAGGGGTATACGCAGTAAACCACCGTCTAGAAGGGATATGTGCATCAACAATTTTCGAAAAGGCGAAAACTGAGCTGAATCTGTAGTTCCGTATAGTAAATACAACTGTTTTTCAAACCATCTTTTATAACACTTTAATGAAACTATGGTAACTTTACTAAAAATGTGGATCGTTGCCTCATATTGTTATAAAATATTCAAGTATATACAAATTCTTGGCAACTTGTTCTCGTATTTATTATTACAAAGACTAATGTGCGCGTCAATTTCTGATGATTTCAACATTTCTTACTAATGTATTTCCAATTTATAATATTTCTACAACAATACTGCAGGTATATAATGCTTTTCTTATTTGTTAGAAAAGTGTACATTGCGTTTAACTGCCATATGATATATGTAATAAATAACCATTTATATATATATATTCTTGATGAAATGCTCTATTTACCATATCTACGTATTTCAATACGTCATTTCTTTTTTAAAAATGAAACAAGAAATACAAATGATATACTGCTCATCTGTATTTCTTGGAATGCAATCAAAACTGCAAACCCAACGTTTGAAGTTAATGAGCAGACTAATGCGCATCCGTTATTGAGAGTAATTACGTGTGTTCTTGATTGTTGTAAAAAGATTCTTCCGATGTTAATCGAGTCAACGTTAGATGTTTGTAATTGCAGTGGGTTCTATTAACTTACCTTCACCCATGTCTTAAATGAACTTGAGTATCTTTGTAGCTGGACAAAACCATTCATCATTTTCAGGGGAAAATATATACTAACTAAACAGCAAAAAGTGACCACGATCCATGTGTCGGCTGCTCTTTGTATGTACTGGTCACATGGGTATACAGACATCAGAGGTTAAAATAGTTTTGTCTTGTTTCATTTCAGCGGAGTGATAGCAAGAAAATGGAGTCTTTATTAAATATTATTTGCTTTCCATGATACAATGCAAACAAAAAGTTTTAGATGGCATATGCGTGATAAGAACTTTTTGAAAATTGAAATTTATAACATTTTCAATATCGAAAAATCGCTCAGTTGAAAACAAGAGAAACACGTGGACACAATATGTAGAATGGAAAATATTCTGAGTCCCATTACTTTCTAACTATTGAACAAAAGTAGTCCCAACCGTACCTGGTAATACTGCGCTTTTTGCTGAACACAAATGTGACTGGCCCTGTCCCCACTCATACCGTGGTGTTATAAAATGGGGTAGCCACATACATAAGGACCCAATAGACGATAGGATGAAAGCACCGGTAAGGATTCTTCCCTTTTTCCTCCTGTTGCCATAGAAACCTAATAGATACAGAATAAGAAAATATTCTTAATAAACAATTTTACTTCAGTTGTCAAACTTTCTAGTTCATTATTTCTGATCTGAAAGAATATACAAGGAGTACATATATAAACGTCAATCATCATACATTACTTCTCTGACATAACAAACATTGATCAGAAAATTGAACGGTCTCAATGAGTTGATGAACTGACAGCTGTAATCATCGGAGGCTATATAAGTACAATAGGTATTTATCTATGAATTCTGACAGTCTTTGATTATACAGTTTACATAATTCATCACATGTCTGAAGGTCATTGCGAATTTCGTATACATACAGGAATAATACTGAAACTATAGTGCTTCAAAGAGGAGCATCATCGTCGGTTACCCATGGTATATATTCCGTACAGTAGTATGTACGGATTATACACCATGGGTAACCGACGATAGGGGACCATATGAATATTATTCAATGTTACTAATAGTCAATATTCACATATTTTAATGTCATTAAAATGTGATATCTTGATATTGGCTACATACATGTATGTGTATTTAAACGGGAGAGAGCATCAAACAAGTGTACTCTGAATGTTTAGAATTAATAAACATGATAACATGGTTAAATGGCGAGTTCGTATAAATTTGGTTATCTTTCTTACTAGTACGTATTTGAAAAGCGTTTCATTGACAAGATTGTGTGAATTATGGCCTTTACAACGCTTATTTGATGTAAGAAATAAAATCTCATAAAGATTGTTTTATTTTACTTTTCGTCCTTAGAAACGATGCCCGAGTGTTTATTAACAAGTATATAGTTTATTGTGCTCCCTATTTCCATTACGCAGCAGACATTTAAATACTTGAATGTTAAACATTTCCGGGTAGTTCCAACCGTTTGCTTCAATAGTCTAACTGTTGCAAAACAGTTATTTAATATAATTCTATTTGAACCAGGATTGAACCCCTGGTAGGCATGTCCAAAATATAAAACGACGTTCCTCAAAATCAAATAGGGTGATCATTTGAAATCAAAATAACAGCCTTTCAAAGATTTAGTTTAAGATATGTATATTTAAGATCGACTTATTTTAAGTTCGTGTAAATATTATCTAATTCATGAATTGGTCTATATCAAGAACTAACCAGTGGTGTCATATGACGAAACATGATCGTGCCCGGATTGACGAACCACCGCCTGAACAAAAATGTTGCCCCTCTTTCTCCCACAAACAAACGACAAAAGTGTATTTACCTATGACGACACCACATATTGCCGCGGAAATATCAAAGCTGCTGCAAATCCAGCCGACAGACGAGCTTGTCAAGTCAAAGCGACGTTCGTAAGAGGTGGTGTTCACATTGTTTATTCCATTTACAGCAAACCCTGAAACACAAAAAAAGGGATGATGTTAACAAAAATCCTAGTACATACACAATATATCTCAAACATTGCCGTGCTGTTAATATTGTCATCATTTACAAACAAAAATAAGATGTGATACAAATGCGGCAACATTTAAACATTTATTGTAAAGTATGTACAATGCACATCCAACAATGTTATGGTCCGATGAAATACTTGAAGTATTGACAAATTATCTAATAACAGGCTATGGATTGCTGCTTATGATGAAAAAAAAATAACATCGTTGATATTGCTACAATTTCACCGCATTTCAGCATTTGCACAGCAAAGACTCTTTAAAATTCATACAAACCAAAAGTTTTTGGTTTCATTGTCTATATTGACTAAATAGGCATTCAATTAACCTTGCACAAGATATTTAAAATGTTTGAAATGTTGATACGTCATTCCTGACATTTTTGAAACATAAAATTCTAACATAAAGTTATCAACTATTTTATAATTGACATATTTTACTGAGTTTAATTATGATGTAATTTGCTTTTGAGAAGGGGTACCAACAAATTATTCGCATACACTCTTTACTCTACACGCATAATAAAATGTTATAGTTTGAATTTGAAACGCAAACACTAGAACGCACTGCAAGATGTTTCAAAATATTGAAACACCTTAATCAACAGTACACTAAAATGCTATATATTTGCGAGATCAGGCGTTGTAATCTTGCAGTTTCATTGCCGCCACATTCACGTGAAACTGTTCGAGAACCAATACCTTTTACAACCTCACAAAGTTACACGTTATAATTATGGTTATAGTACGGTTTTATAGCATTTATAACATGATTTATATGAAAACTGTTTTCCCCAAATGATTTACTCTTGTAAAAGCCCGTATAACATTTAACTTAAGCTCTGATTTAAGATTTATACGGTTTTCAGCATCAGTAATAAATCAAAATAATCCATTGATCTTTCACATTTTCATGAAGACTTTAGATCACGAATATAAGCTGTATATGGAACTAATGCATTTTCTTTTTACGCAAACCAGTTTACGGAATTTGTCCATATTTACCCATGTGGCCGGGGTCTTTTTTAAATTTTCTTAAATAAAAGGCGAATACATTTTGAGAAACTTTGGAAACCAAATTATTCCACTGTTTCATGGACGCTTAATGACTTTTTACAGTACTTGCATTTCCGAAAGAATAGCCTTAATTTCAAGAAAGTCATTACGGTTTGTCGTGCGCCGTGCAATTAAAATATTTTCTTTCACAGTCCCCTGTACTACATGTCTGGTGAAAGATTTGGCACTAAAATGACTTCAGATTTTTTTACACTAGAGACAAAGCTGTAAGTTAAAGTACTTTGAACATATTTTGAAGATGCAAAATTTATTTCTGATTTTTTTTTATTAATGAAAAGTTGGATTTTATATTGCAAATATAATATTTCAACGTGACTGTACACCGAAAATTCTAATACTCCAACGTGGCTGTACTCTAAAAATTCTAAGTAAAGAAACACTTGCCCCATTTTAATTTCAAGATATTTTGCTGAATATGTTTAAACCCTGACTCCCTATTCTTCCATACGAATTCTTTGGTTTATTTTTAAAATTATCAGACGTTAGTTTGTTTGTTTTGTTTGTTTTTACTAAGCACCAACACAGTTTTGGTCATATGGCGCCGAAACAGGAAAGATGATTTTGGCTACCTCTGTGTTACAAACTTTAGGTCAAAACCACCTCACCTGCTGGAGCTAAGAGGTGCATAAACTCCAGTTATTTAACTTCAATTCTGATGCTTCAACCCGGAAAGACAATCCCTCAGACACAAGGGGATAATATTAGACGTAATGATTTACTTTAGAATTCCTCCACGTGTTTGACCACGTGAGGTTTTTATTTGTTCTCTTGTTTTTATATATAAAAAAGCAACATGACTCCAGATTCATACTAATTTTCATTAACATTTTAAAAATGGATTAAAAAGAAGGATTTTGTCAAATGAACAAATAAAGTGATTTTCACATTGCAAACGGCATTTAAAATCTACGAAATCTACAACAAATAGGTCAGAATATGCAAATATAGCCCTTACGGCGTTAGTAACGCAGTATATAAATTTGGTGATAAAGACTGCAATATATGTCATTTACTACATATTACATGAACTGACATAATTATTATTTCTTGAATCGTGAATATTTTTACCATTTTCATAAAATATTAATACATTTTTTCTCAAGGTTGATTGTCTTGAAATATTTTGCACTTCTGAACGCAGGCAGCTTTCAATTAGACGCTACAATAACGGTTGATCCCTTTTTTCCCCGACGTGACATAACATTAAACGCTCCCAAATCGTAATATGATCGCGTAAACTTTTCCCATTATTTAAACGTAATATTATAAAATATGTATGTAGCGCGATAGCACATTTTACCCATGTGACTATACATGTATACTATTTCATTTAATTATGGTTATCTTTCTAACGTGTTTATCTCCACATCTCATTTCAATCTCAGTTTCCCGGGGGCTCAAGAGATATTGTTACTAATTAATTAGTAAATTTAATGTGTCAAACCCTATTGGAAGTTCATAAGTATCCGACAATTATGTCACGGATAGATTAAATGAAGCACACACTTTGTATTTATTAAACACCGCTGTCTTAATGAAAAGCTGTTTCATTAAAAAGTAATCAAATTTGTTATTCAAAGAAGAGATGAGAACATGAATATGTGTATAAAGCATTACAACTGTTCGTCGCTTACAAAATAAAAGTACTCTTACAACGGGTCTTGAATAACAATTTCATCACATAATAGAATGCAGTTGCGCTGTTTTCTTTACTCTGCACATGTATTCTACAAGTCAATACCAACTTCCCCTCATGGAGCAGCGGTGCTACAGTGCTGAGCGATGATTAGTTAAACAGTGTGCAAAACGTGAGATGTCCCGTGTTGCTTGAACAAACGAATGTTCATAGCTAACCGACCAACGTTCTTCTTATTGAGCTAAATAAACCTACAAAATGACGGACTGACGGACGGACTGACAGTCATCTTAATTTATATAGCAAATAAGTTTCTCTATGTATGTTGTTCTGTGCGATAATGTAATTTTGAAGTCAAATATAAAAACTTTTAATGGTTAACTGGTCCTCAGAATCTCTGTTATTTTGAGAGATATATGTACATGTTCAAATTCAAGGCCACTGTCGATGTTCGCAATTTTATAAATTTAGCCTCGTTTTCATTCCCCGGGTCCAAAAAATCCGTATCAAATATATATTGTAATCAATTTAGCCTCATTTTCATTTTCCGAGTCTTTAAGATCCACATCAAATCGATACTATACTTGAAGTTACTGTATCTTTAAAATGAAACAAAAACACTTTTGATTTTTAGTTTTTTCTTCAAAACCGATATTGTACGAGGCGTTTTATATATAGATAATATTGGAATATACCAGAGCGTTAGCATAAAACCGATATTGGACGAGGCGTTTTATATATAGATAATATTGGACCCGATGTTGAATATAGCATAAATATATTTACTTTTTTGTATATTTATCAGTAGCTACAACGGTAAACACTAGATATTTAGTATCTCGAAAACACCCACGCATCAAAAAAAAATAATAATCAGGAGAAGTTACTATGGCGACTTCTGAAATTTTATACCATAATTAAACCAGTGATGTTCTCACAGGGATAGAAATGAGATATGCATGAAAATCTGTATGTAAAACAACTCTGCTCTTTTTTTAAATAAAGGTAAAAACATGATATCAGATGCACGCGTTTCAATGCATAGCCTATTAATTATACACTGTATTTTATAGAATGCCAGATAATTTATAGAATTCAGAATGTAACTTCGATTGATGAATGATGTAAAGCGCCAAACAGGTAATGTTAACGTTGTTAATATGTTGATTATGTGTTTATTATTTGCCAATGTTCGTTGCTGTTGTTGTTGTTGTTGATGATGCTGCTGCTGCTGCCATGTTGTTGTTGTTTTTATTATTTTTTTCTTGTTGTTTTTCTTGTTGTTCTTCTTCTTCTTCTTCTTCTTCTTCCTCTTCTTCTTGGTGGTGATAATTATGATCATGTTGTTGCTGTTGTTGTTGTTGTTGTTTTGCTGTTGTTGTTGTTGTTGTTGTTGTAAGCTGAATTTTAAACTCAAATAATGACTTTTCATGAAGACCACGGAACTACATGAGCATGTTAATATTACCACCAAGCCTATACTGCGCCAGTCAGCTAGTATCACATTTTTAGTGCGTTTGGTGAGATCCTACTTTAAAACGGCGAAACACTATTGATACGAGGTGAGCTTAAATCTGCCACTTAGAGGATATAGAACACCATTTACGTCATAGTGGTACACTTCATTTACTTTCTGTTATCTAAATGCTTAGATTTCATTTTTTCAGCGCCTCATATCTACTTAAAACCAATCTTTAAAGAGACGTTTCATGCAAAATAATTTTGTCCTTTTTGCCTGACATAAATTTGCCTGTAATCAAACTTCTATAAGACAGTAACAGCGGAGATATTTAGAGTAATTGCCTCAAACTAAAATGGCAATAATTCTGTCTAAACAAGACATGTCACTTGCGGAAATTGATAACAAATCAGAAATCAATTTCATGATAAGAGCTTGTCCTTTTTCTGGGACAATAATATGTTGAAATGAATGCGCCAGTTTTTCTGTTAGCGTCTAATATAGTCAACAATTGCTAATACCGGGAACAAGACACTGGTCCCTTGTAATGTTAACATTTCCAGAGTTAATGATGGCTAATTTCTGCAAGCACTTTATGAATACGACCAGGATGCTGTCATAATTAAGCAATTTGCACATTTTTAGAAAACCATTAACAGATGCCGCGCTGTTGTGAAAATTAGACAACCAATAACATTAACTGCCACAAAAAAGCAAGCTATTACAAGAAATTTTATGAAACTAATATAATATGAAAATTTTGCAACAACACAAAATACTTGTAACATTTCTTTTAGATTGAAAAAGTTGTTTTAATAAAAAATAATTCGAAGACAAAAAACAGCAGGTTCTGAGAAATAAAAGTCACGCACTTGCACAAACATTTCCATTCAGGCTAAAATGGAACAAAAAATATAAAGTGCCTATAACATGTACATGTGTAAGACACCTTTGACGATATATTTCCAAGACATCTGAATTTCCTAAGGTTAGTAGGCAGTAGTATAACGATAGTATTGACGGTAAAATGACGGTAACGTGACGGTTTTATGGTAATATGAATCGCAACGTCCTCGGCTATTATTTATAATAACCTTATCCGAAGACTGACGGAAAGGGCCGAAAATTTTAAGTTGCGGTTGTGAAGGTTATATGGTAATAATTATGATGGTAGTATGACGGTTAGATGACGGTAGTATGTTGGTTATATGACGGTATTAATAGGGTTATATAACGGTAATATGACAACTGTATGTCGGTAATATGTCGGTAGCATCACGGTAGTATTCTATGGAAAAACGACGGTTGTAAGACGGTAGTATCACGGTAATATGATGGTGATATGTGATATGACGGTAGTATGACGGTTTTATAAAGGTAATTTGACGATTACATGACATTATATGATAGTAATATGTCGGTACATGTAATATTTTTATGATGTAACGGTAATAAGATGACAGTATGGCGGTAGATATGTTTGTAATATGACGGTAGTATGGCGGTTATATGACGGCAGTATGATGGTTATATAACGATAAATTGACGGTTGTATGAAGGTAATATAATAGTAAATTGAAGGTAACATGAAAGAAGTTAGATGGAAGATGTTTATATGACGGTAATATGATGGTAATATTTTGGTAATATAACCGTTAAGTGATGGTAATATAGATAACGGTTATATGATGACAGTATGGCGGTATATATGATGGTAATATGACAGTAGTATGACGGTAGTATGATGGTTATATGGTGGTAATATACCCGTTGTATGATGGTAATATAAATAACCGTTACATGATGACAGTTTGGCGGTAGATATGATGGTAAAATGACAGTAGTATGACGGTTATATGATGGTTATATGATGGTTATATGACGGTAATATAACCGTTGTATGATGGTAATATTAATAACGGTTATATGACGGAAGTATGATGGTTTTATGACGGTTATAATTATGACGGTTATATGACGACAGAATGATGGTAAAATAATGGTAATAAGACGGTAGAATAAAGGTTATATGTTGACCATTATGACGGATGTAAAACAGTAATATGTCACGGTAATATGACGGTACAATGTAATATGAAGGTAATATAATTCAGTATGGCGGTAAATATACATGTGCTATATGTTAGTTTATTAGAGAATGATATGACTTACTAGTTGTTAAACAAAACTTATTGATACGCTCGAAAAATGTTGGACACCGGAAATGTGGGTATTAACAAGTAAATTGGTAATTTGGAAACAAAAGTACATTTTAGCGGTAATCTGTAACTAATGTCAGCTTATGATAATTTTGTTCAGTTTCATGTTTGTTGATATAGATCTTTTAAAGATATCTATATCAACATTATTGCTGAGCTCATTTTTCTACTATAATGTTAAATTGCGGTGTTTTTGTTGGTTTTTGATTTTTGCTGTTTTGGGGGTTTTTTTCTTTGGTTTTTCGATCCTTTTTTTTGGGGGGGGGTGTATAATTACAATTTAAATTTTAGCTTTAGAAATATTGTTTCGTTGAGTATAGGGAAGTTTGTAGCATTTGAAACTACCTACTCAATCTTTTCTTGATTATAATTATTTACAAATGTATCATGTAATCACAATGATAATAAATGAAATAAATAATGTTTGTGGTTTTTCTGTGGTTGCTGTGGTAATAATATATTGTATTTATTATATAGGATATTTATAGGATCTTACCTAACATCTTAACAAAATCTTGTATAGATGATTAGGCAATTTACCTGGAGATATAAACTCACATAATTCAAAGAAGTTATACTAAGTGTTTTCATAGTAAACTCAAGAAATAACAGGTAGTTATTCTGTTATCATTGGCAGGTACATTTACTGTTCAACAACCAGTTTATAGTTTATTCATTTTCAAAAACTGTTTTTCTTCTTAGACTACCGAGTGTTTAGTTAAACCACTTTATTTTGTTACAGCATAAATAGGGTTCTGTAAAAACAACAGGTTTAATGCCCCTTTGTCAATAATGAAATATATTTTGTATTTATTACTAAATCATTTGTATATATCATATACGTGTATGTTAACATGTATGTCAACATGTATAAATTTACCGATTTTCATTTGCACAAAGTCCCTAACAAATGCAATTTGTCGACCCTTCCTAATATAGTAATGGTTGCGCTAGTATTTGACATAGATAATTTCCATAGTTTAATTTCTATGCTGTTATATATAAGTACTTTTGATAGCTTAAAGTCTTCAGCGTACGCGTTTATATACTATGACGCCGCATCAGATGAAAACCATAAAATGTTAAAATGCGGCTTATAAAGTTTTGGAACTAGACTTTTGATAGCTTAAATAGCCCGATATAGACAATCCTTTGCATATCTTAGACTATTTACAGGTTATATGACCCTTTATAAACGCGTGTTTGCTTATATAATCCGAGTCGCTAGACTTTCAACATGTTATATGGTCTTGTTTAAACAATTGTTTGCTTAAACGTATAACCTCATTCATCATACTTTTGGAATTGTTATAATGACCGTATTTTATTATTTAAACAATTGTTTGCTTATTTAATCCGAGTCGCTAATATTTTTGACTGGTTGTATATGGCCCTATATAAATGGTTGTTTTGCTAATATATTCCGAGTCAATGAATGGTTACAGGTTATATGACCCTATATAAATGCTTTTTTTACACAACCGAAGTATGTTATCATGAAAACTTTATTTAATTTTTACCCTGGTCATACCTTAAAATTAGAAAATAACAATAAGTTAGTACATTGAAACGTGGCGGGTCTTTAAGAGATATCACAACTGAACTGATACGTCTCGTGGCGATCTGTATTAATGTTCTAATTTTTCGTTTGTTAATGACACACTTACCAAATTACAAATTTAACGAAGAGATAAAAATGACAACTTTTTGTATATCATTTGCTACATAATTCCTTATTCATAAGACACGTTTAATTCAAAATGCAAGATCTCTGTTAATACTTCTGTTAATAAATACTAGAACAGTCTTTGCTATTGAGTTTTCAATACAGAACAGTATCGAATATCTTTATATTTTATACATGTACATATAAAAGAATGCCCAGACTATATAAGTAGACACGTGTGTTTAAGAACATTTATACATTCTAGTTATATACAAGGCACGCGTGTATAAAAACATTACTGCGACGTCGGCGTTCCATAATTCGTTAATGACTCAAGAAATGACTTTTTCCCATGCTTAACTATGAGTTAATGAATAAACCTTATACAACCACTTACCATGTACTAATGTATAGACGCATAGGCACACTAAAAGAACTTGTGGATTATTGCACCTCTGGAGTAAACTGGGACGACACGCCCCGATCCCACACCGCGTGTCAAAATGTTCGTCTGCTTCACGTCCTTCATCCTCGTCTATGTTAAGACTGTCCCCGTCGGCCCGTCCCTCGGACTTGTCGGCTTCAGTCACATGAAATCCATTCACAGGTTCAAAACAATTCTCCGCCATCGACAAATGATCAAATGATGTATGCCAATAAATCTGTGCCGACAATAATCGTCCAATATAAATATCCGACCAATTTAGGCATGGCTATTTTTTCTTCACTGAAAAATTAACCAATATCTGAACATTATATATAAATCCCAATATATGGTTGATTAATGTCCAATAAAGACTTAACAAAGTACTATCCAATTAATATAAGGCACACAGTGAAGTAGCAATAATTCTAAAAGTCAAAACATTTCCTAGTCGTTAAGTTCGCTTTGTAGAATCAAACGCAAACGCACAGTTTACATAACATATTGCCAAATTCATACCGGAAGAAACGCACAAGTGTGTATGCGTGTTTTTGTTGTTATTTCCTTCTTATCGGATATTTTATATGCCGCGCTACAATACAACCAGTAAGCACTGCTGCAGTGGGGAGGAAAAAAATCGCAACAAAATATACGTTCTTTCTAAGAGAATAGCACGTCAATTCATTGATTTCGTCTAGTTTTTACGAGTTTGGAGAATAGAGAAATATTGACATATAACATCTCTGTGAGGCACAGACTATTTCATTCAGTGGTTTCCATTAAGAACATATTGATCCCTCTCTATCTCCCCTTCTCTCGCGCTATTCCAGATATTCATTTTCATAATAATCTAACAGATAACGGGATGAGAACTTTCTGGAAACATGCCTGGCCCTTATGTTTTGTCCTTCATATATCAGATGGCGTTTTGTGATAATTTGTTGCCTCATATCGTGTGTGTATTATTTAAGGAGTATTGCTACACTCATTTCCGCTGACGACAAAATATCATTAAATTGTCATCAACTATTTTACTGGTACATATGTAATAATGCTTAGTTATAGTCGAACTTGTTTAATAAAGAATGATTAAATTATAATAATATATGAAAGTCAAATCTGAATTTAATGTGAATTAGTCAATAATTTAAAGTTCTGTAATTCCACAAAAAAATTATGTTGATAGTATAAAGTAGCATATGTGATAACAAACCATGCCTAAAATATTTATTTATGGGTGTTGTTGATAAGTGTAAGATACATCATCCAATATAATAAATGATATTATATTATATATCCATAAGATAGAAGATAATAAACTTTTCTAGAACAAAGTATTATTATTCATTAAACAAATGTCCACACCAGACCACTTTGAACTTTATTAACACTTTTTTTCAAGAAATACTTTATCATAATATCCAAATGATGCATTTCTATTGTTATTTATCAATATTTGAAATATTTATGAAAAATTAGCCCATCATAGACCAATTCCCTCTAATCATGGCTAAATATCAAAGTCAAACCTGTATTATAGAAAATAACTTAATTATAATTAAGTATTATAATAAAACCTTTAAAATAGAAAATTAATTAATTCTATAAACCATGGTAAATATCATCTTTAAAAAGTGTATGGTTAGAAATAATTTAACGTCCAACCTGCATTAACCGTAAAGTAGGCCTATTTTAGTCGAACCTGTGTAATACAGGATGTTTAAACCGTATAGTTAGTATTATAGTCAAACCTGTGTAATACAGGATGTTTAAACCGTATAGTTAGTATTTTAGTCGAACCTGTGTAATACAGGATGTTTAAACCGTATAGTATTATAGTCGAATCTGTGTAATACAGGATGTTTAAACCGTATAGTATTATAGTCGAACCTGTGTAATACAGAATGTTTAAACCGTATAGTATTATAGTCGAACCTGTGTAATACAGAATGTGTAAAATATTATAAACAGTCAAACCTGTATCATAAAGGAAATGACAAAACCAAGCAAGCTTATAAAATCATGATTAAATAGTATCGTCCAACCTATGTATTAAATAATTCAGTCCATGGTAAAATATTCAAGATTATAAAATAAATAATGTTTAAGTCAAGTTTCATATATGTTTAAAGATCCAGTAATACAATTTTTTTATGGTTTTAAATCATAAATATGATGCTCAAATTAAGATTTATCAATGTTTCCAAAAAAAGCATTATTTATAATGATATTACCGAATTTAACATTTCATGTAAATAAAGGGAGGTAATAAAAAAATTTCTATAAAGTCTAAGTCAAATTTGTCAATAAGAAATGAATCCATATATTTTGATGATTACATATAATATGTACAAATATTTGCAGAACATATTTTACATATTCTTCGATGTTTGAAAATTGTTTTATTTGCATAATTATATACATATATAGAATTTCACTCAGTGTGGTTTACCACTTTGATCACAACATACAGGATCTTTAAATAACACCATTTGAATGTGCATAAATTTTAAGTTAACCTTTCATTCATATTACTTTGCGGCGGGAACAGCAGCTTCTGTCGCTGATTTTGTTGTTGTTTTAATTGTTGTTGTTGTTGGTAATGATGTGATGACGTTGTTGTTGTTGTTGTTGATGATGGTGGTGTTATTGTTGTTGTTGATGATGATGATGATGATGATGATGATGATGATGATGATGATGATGATGATGATGATGATGATGATGATGATGATGATGATGATGATGATGATGATGATGATGATGACAATGATCATATAGCAAAACAGTACATTATTTATAGAGGCGAATGGAACTGCCAGGCGGATGCAAAAGTAAACATAAGGCACGAATATCATGAAACACATGTCGTCTGCTTTGTCGAAAATGTTCATTAGCACGATACGATTGTAATAACTCGTGGAAGTACATAAAATGTCTAAATACGTTGCCGGCATTAATCATTAATAGCAGACGATCTGTCCCTTCCAGCATTATTTTTAATGTCGTACATTAAAGGCTAGAGTACGATATACGAAAATCGTCAGTTAGCGAAATTGGAACTGCTTCAATTTAGATACAATATCATTTTATTTCGCGACATGTTATATTATGAAATAAAACTTTCTTCACTTTTGTTCTTCTGGCATTTTCTGCTGACGCATCAAGAAAATAACAATAATTTGAAACAGCGGCAGACAACAAAATAGTTCAGGGAAGTTGCAAAGTTAGTTAATTTAAATATATGTTTATATAATATTGATAATTAAAAGTAATGTGATTCAATAGATGTACTGAAGTCTGTGAGAAGAATGTGCGTTTAGAATTCTTGAATTGCGAATAAATGTACAAGCACAATTATTTTGAATTAATGGAAGTTAGTAAGATTATGTTACAACACCTTTATTTGTCACCTCCTCTTGTACTGTTAATTCTGAATCATGTTTGTTTTGTTTGTTTGTTTCGCATTTTATAAGAAATCGTTACTTACAAGTCGCCAGTTTATAGCATTGGTATAAAATGGCCATTGGCTTTACCTGGGTGAGACGAAAGTTTCATATTTTTAACACTAAATGACGTTTACTTTTCTCGCGTTTCATCACATTTTCAGGTATAACAGCGTCAATTTTTGTTTCGTGTTAAAATATCTACTGTTGTCATTCAAGACGCGGTGGAAGCCACGTACTGAAAGTTTTTGGTACCCCAGTCCTTCCCTAGGGAATTCATATCAAATAACACCACACGGAGAACTCGTGCAAAGCAATTTTTTTTCTGCGTTTTGTTATCGAATTCAATAATAGGAAGGATAATTGCCAAATATTAATGTGAAAAACGTTTCGCCAAATGTTAATTGATAAATTCTTAATATCACAAAATGCCCGCCAAATTGTTATTTTCCAGTAATAAATAATAAATGCGAAAATTGTCGAATGGAAACTATCAAAGTGTCAAATTACTTTTGCGCAGTACCAATTAAAGAAAATTTCTCTGCTTCTAATTGAATGGATGCATTAACTTTTGGCCCGAGTCTATGATTTGTCAGAAACTCATTTAAGTGTTTACCCCTGGTGTTTGACTAGTAGGTCTCTGACACCAATGATGCAGCCATAATAAACAACTTTTGCTACACGCCAAACTGATAATGAGGGCTACCTACAAGAAACAAGAGCTCAGCATGAGGTGTTCACGCTCGTCTGTAAAGGGTAACAACTTTCAATAAACAACTTTTATAAATATTATAAGTTTAAAAGGGGCATAACCCTTAAAAGTATCGCTTAATGTCTCTTGATTTCTGACTTTGCCTTGTGAAGATAAACTAGCATTCCAAGTTTCTTTGTTGTTTTTTTATGTATATATTTTATAGATTTAAAATCAATCTACTTAATAGGCAATTTGTCAAAGATTCTAAGTTAAAAGGGTTAAAAGGGGCATAACTCCAAAAATATAGCTTCCAGAATAATGCCTACAACTGCTTTTTGTAATGATAAGCAAGCTATTCAGGTTTGATATGGATACTTTTAAAATTGCTTGAGCAATGGGCTACATTAAAGATTTTTTTCACAACAACTACGATAACGGCAACACCGACGACGACGACGACGACACAGAGATCATAATAGCTCGATGGTTTCAGACGAGATAACATATAATATCTTTACGGTTGTGTTATACACTAAGTTGCTTTAAAAATATTCACCTCTAGATGATAAAATATAATTCTAACAAAGCACACACTACGAAAATGTTTTAGGATTTTAAGAAATGTTTGCATGAGCGGATTTACTTTTTTCTTCAATATAATTACCAAACAAAGCAAAGGCTTTTTTGATATATTCTATCAAATTTAGATCCTTGTACATACCTTATACGTGCTCAAATAACATACTTTGTTCACTTGAAAAAAAAACTATTGCTATTATTCCTTAGTCTCCTGGCGGTAACTGAAAATTCATACCGTCGGCTATTCAGTCTGTACATATTTGGAAAATTTTCCCTTTTTACGACATTTACCTTATAAATACCTGGCAGACGAATCTGCAGAGCTTCTTAACCTTCACTTCATCTTGAACTCATAAACTTATTTTCATGTCAACGAGTTCGTATTGAAGTTTAAAGTACAAAATAGTGGCAAATTGTAGTATATATGACTAACACAAATTGTTATTTTACTTGGCCTATAACTCAACTCCGTCGCGGTGTGACTTTTCGTTATATTGGTAAAGGTTTTAGCTCGAGGATGCTCATTTGTCGAACATATCAAATGTGAACTTTATCATAATTTCCCAGCGAAATGTTATTAAAATGTCAAAAGATACCATTTGATAATAGCAATTTATTACCATAAAAATGAAAAGATACAGACAGAATGCGACGAAAGTGACATTAAACATAATAATATACAATCTCATCTCACAACATTTAGCCTGTATAAAATATAGCATGCAGTTAGATATTAAGTGCTCTTCAGACTGAAAGAGGGACTCCACAGTCTGTTTGTTGTTGTTTTTTTTTTGTTGTTGTTGTTTTTTTTGTTTTTTTTACATGAAGAGACTGAAAATCCTTTTGTTTTCGATATGTGTGTACTATTTGTTGTAGATCTGGACCAATAAATTTTGTGCAACACTTAAGATCATTCGCTCACTCCGGTTTTCCAGACTAATCCTTATTTTGCAAATGGACTCAAGAAAAGAAAACGTTTGCATGCTTTTAACTTAGATCGGGTCTAAAATCGCACAAACATCGGTTAATTAAGATCTAAGTATATTTCTTCATCATCTTTTGCATAGTTGTTCATTATAAGTACCCCAGTTGAT